TCCTGATTCCAGGGCCAGTCTATCCATTGCACTATCTAGCTGCCCCTTAATCCTTCTTTTGCTCCTTCTGTCTGTTTCCTCTTGGGCTAAATTACTTCCCTTTAATTACAGGGATAGTCTTTGTTTGCTTCTTCCACCATTTTCTTGGCCCATAGGCTCCTTATTGCTTCATAGTCATCTCCTTTCCTTCTTCTTGGCCTTAGGGCCTCCTGACTCCAAGGCCGATCCACTGCCACCTAGCTGCCCCTCCATTGTGTTTTTAATGTGGGGGTGGAGGAGCTGCCTCCAGGAAAGCTCTTACTCTGCCAGCTACCCATTATTCTCTTCTATTAAGTGAAAATGAGAAAGTTAAGCTATCTATACCTTCAATCAGATCAGCAATAAAAATGGGAAATAGTATAGGCCAATACCCAATTCCTAGTATACTATCCTAGTGACCTCTTTTAAGTTGGCAAGAATCCATGAATGACTAAATCCCTGGGGTATGGACGTTCAGCCAGTTTTGAATTCATCTAACCAAATTTTCATCTAGTCCATAGTTTTCCAAATAAGAAGAAATATCTTGCTTAAGTCTTGTAATTATATTTACACAATTCCCTTGATTTATCAATCTAATAATTAGTGTGGCATGAACTATTCTTGATAAAGCTATGCTGGCTTTTAGTGATCATCATTTTTCTTTCTCTCTCTTTTTCATTTCAAAAAGCATGTATTAAGCATCTACAACTATGTACTAAGCTCCCAAGGAAACTTGAAAAAACCGCACAATTCTTGTCCTCAAATAGCTTACAATCCATCTTAAGGGAATATGACATGCATATAAATAGGTATGATGCAAGATAAATATCACTTCTCTTTCTAAATGCTCAGAAACCATCTTTTAGGTAATATGTTCTCCAATATCCTACTTGTAAGGGATACTATGCAGGAGTCCTTGTTCAGGAACAGCTAAACTATTTAACCACTGTGATCCTATGAAAAGGTATCCAAAGGAGGTTTGGCAAAGGAAGTATCTAGTTATAAGCCGTTGCCATCCCCTTTTCTAAAAATGCCTTTCAAAATACACAGAGAGCAGAAAAGTGCCATGAAGTCTAACAGTTCTGCATATACAGGAAGTGGAAAAATTTCTCTAACATTTGTGAAGCAGTAGAAGAATGGTAAAAATGTTTCTTTATAGCAATTCAATCTACTCCTAATGTAGGATAAAACTAGACTAAATGGGAGGCTATTTTCCTCTTTGTAAATATTAACTAAGACATCTTGCTCAATACATAACTGAATACTAAATTCAATTTAGAGGACCTTCATACCCCAAAGGTCAAATTAGAATGCATTATCATAAAAGCAATGGAAATAATGAAAGGGTTGAAGATTTGATTAATTTACAAGTTTCAGTCTCACTCCTACCCCCAATCTGAGATCTACCTTTTGATTTGTATTGAAGTAGGCTTGTATTAGGAATGAAAAAATAAGGAAGAATTTTTGAAATGTGATGGAACAGAGAATAAAAAAAAAGATAAAAAGACTGTTTTATGTTGTTGAGAAAGGCAAATAAAGACAAGAAATAACAGTTTTGCCTTTATTATGTTTTGTTTTAAAATAACAATGAGCTAAAGATAAATGAGGACAAGAGGCAAATAAAGGGGAAATATGTACATCTGGAATTTAGTGAAAGAGGATAGGTTAAATTCCTACTGAATAGAAGAAAAACAATTAAAAAGTTAAGGTGGGGGCAGCTAGGTGGTGCAGTGGATAGAGCACCGGCCCTGAAGTCAGGAGGACCTGAGTTCAAATCCGGAATCAGACCAAACACTTGACACTTACTAGCTGCTGTGTGACCCTGGGCAAGTCACTTAACCCCAGTTGCCTAAAAGCAAAAAAAAAAAAAAGGTTAAGGTAGAATTCTCAAAGTAGAAAAAATTTTATTTAAGAATACTATATTGTACTACTAAAATTTAAAAATAATATATTCAGTCTTCCTTCATTAAAGTTCCAAGTCTAATATCTGACCTTGCATAGAAGTGATCCTAGATTCTTCAGTAGTGTTACAGCAGAACACTATCTTTGGCAGATCCTACCCAGATGAAAAAACTTCAACTATAGATCTAATGACATTTCTTTTCTAAGTATTAGCCTAGTTAAGAATCTCATCAGCAGAAAGTTGACCAAAACAAGAATTTTTTTGGTCAAAGTAGTTCATGAAGATAATTTATTAAGGTGTAGATGGGCTATGATTTAGTTTAGTTGAGGAAATGATGCAGTTTTACAATGGTTCTATGATCTCATCAATGTGGGTAACTTCCTTCGAAAAATGGAGACTACAATCCATCCATGACCACTTGTATTGGAGAATTTTTTTTATACTGACCTGTAAATCTACACCATTGCCCCAAAGTGGGTGTTCACTGCATTCTCTTGACATCCTATGGAAACCAGTGGAGCAAGTAGGCTATCCATTGGATATTCCTTGTGTTTCTTTATGAACAGCCTCTTTTTTCTGGTCATCCAGTTTTTTGATAACATCCTTTATACCACATCTACCATATGATATAATGTGTTACAACCTTCCGTGTCTACCACACATACGATGGACAATTCATTGAGCTCATCCATCACTATATAGGTCTTGGACAGACTTTGCAAATAAATAATGAATTTGTCCCAGAATCAAACAGGAAGAGGTCATCAGGCTGGAATAGCTTCAGGGAATTACACAAGTCTTTTAATGACCCCAAATTTCTCCTTGAAATAAAAGTCCATATCCTTCCGGTGATTTTATCTGTGAGTGATTTATGAGTAGTAGAATACTATAGTTGCTGAAAGGTTTACTTAAAGGAGGAAGCAGCTACTCATAAAATCAGAGTTTTTGAAGAATTACCCAGACTTATTTTGTGATAGATGAGTAAGGTTTGTTCTCTGTTAAAAAGCAAAATGCTTACTAATTCAAAATAAATTCTTTCTGCATTTTGAATTATTTTATGGGGGGGAGCTACTAAAAAGTTGGGTAATACAGATGAGGAACCTGGATCTCAGAGAGGTAAAATGTGCCATCTGTACTCATGAAGGTAGTGTCAGAGATGAGATTTGAATCATTCTCTCCTGACTTTATGCCTAATACTCTTCTCCCCCCCCCATACCCTTCTTATCATACCATGTTGTCTCTTGCCTCTTTGCTGTTTTTTTTTTTTTTAAAGGCATCTGACTTGGTAAAGCAAAATACAGCCTCAAAGAGTGTCTTCAAAAAAAGTATGCAAATATTGAATCATACAAAATTCTGTGACAGATGTATACAGCCACATAAATAATTTTAATGATATTCTGATTATGTCATGTGAGGAATAAAACAAGAAGACATAAAAAATGTATACCAGGGTCATGGTGCATATTCTGAGAAAAATCCAAAAGGAAGAGGAATTCCCTATAAATGATTCTCTGGAATATTTACATTTGCACAAAACACTGGGTGATTATATCTAGTTGTACAGAATTGCAGATTAGTAGCTTGAAACACTATGCTATTGAAAAAAGTGAGATACAGAAATTGCCTCTTTTACCGGAAGATTTTTTTTCTCAATTTCTGTGACAGCATGTGTAACCTCAGGAGGAGTACATAGCTGTCGTTCCATAAGGGATGTTTATGACCATCTAGAAATCTAAAGGGCTGCTGTATGTGGCTTTGGATGTAATTTTGAGGGATGATAGCTGGCTTAGGTGCCTGGGGTGCAGCATCACAGAAGTTACTGGCTGCAGTGAATGTGTTAAAGGTGTGTGTTCAGAGTGACATCAATTGAATGGGGAACCTCAATTCTCAGGTTTGTTGGTGTATGAATAATCAGAATATTATTCTTAAGAGCATCCAACCTCTTAGAGATAACTTTGTATGATTTTATGCTTAGGGATTCTTGCTTCACTTATCAGTTGTGAGACCTTGAACAAGTTACTCCATCTATTTGGGACTGATTCTCCTCATCCATTGTTTAAGTAATCCTAGATGACCTCTGAGGTCTTTTCCAGCTCTAAGATCCTATTAAGTATCAATCAACCAGCATTTATTAAGTGCTTACACGTACCAGGCACTGTGCTAAAAGGCAAAAAAGTCCATGCTGGCAAGGAGATTACGTTCTAGTAATTAAAGGATTAAATGGACAACATATTCTTCAGGGCCGCTGTACACATAGGATAATATTATTTTGGGAGTATACAAATCCTGACAAGAGAATGAGGTCTTAACAAAATTACACTAAGTAGTGTGCAAAAATATATCAGTAATCATATTAAATTGTTGCATGGTGGGGAACTGAAGAACAAATGTAGCCAAACAAACTTAATATCATTTCAGTCATGCCACTCAGTGGAGATTTGATTTGTTCCATGTACTGTACATACAATGACATAGATACTGATTTCTGGAAACTTTTATTTTAATGGAATGATAAGGAGTTTTGGCAGACAAATAGCCTAGATTTCTTTAAGATGAACCATTCAGCTACCTTATTTTAATACTTTAAAATCTATAATTTCACTGGTGTGGATGAAACTGTCAATACCACAGCTTGAAAGCCTCATAATAGATGGTTTCATGAGTTGCTGTTGCCAGAAACATTTATTACATATTAGCTAATTTACTAGTGACAAGTTTCTCCATCTATGTTGGTCCTAGGGTGGGGGTATATTGCTAGGTTTAATCAAAGACTTTTTAGCTTTAGGACCTATTTTCTAGAGCTTCATGTGATGAAAGAGTAGGATAGGATACTAGTAGAGGTAAAAGAGATTAATTTATCTACAATATACATATTCTAGTCAATTTATTATACTATTGGATGCCTACACAGAGAATAATACTTTGGTCGTATATACAGTTAGTAAACACTATTTGATAGTGTTTTCAGGATGCTATTAATGTCTTGAACTATAGTCTTGACAGAAAAATGTAGATGGTTTCTAATATCTTTTATAGATAGAAATTTGAAGTTAATAAAAAATAGAAATTTTCTTCTTACCCGATTTTTTTCGGCAGCCCAAAGAAGCAATTTGTTTGGCTCCTTTTCTAGTTTTTGTTCTTGCATTTGATACCACTCCTCGGTTTCTTCATCCTGCTCTTCTTCTTCATCAGTATCATCAACCCAGAGGCTCTGAGTTCCAAGGGGAATTAGGTGTCTATGAGTTTCCAACAATTCCAATTGGTTAAAGTATTCAGAAAAGTCCAGTGTCTTCTCTGGGTCAGATTTTCCATCATCATCTGATTTTTCTTTTTCATTCTCAGTGTTTTCCATTTTTATTGTCAGTCTCTTTGAACATCTAGAGCTTGGGCCTATTTCTTTCTTTCTGTGATGAACTGTGTCTTCTCTATTTTATTCATCATTAGAACCTGACGACACAGGTGCAAAAATTATTAGTAAATGATAATGGAATCACTTTTGAACACAACAGTGTCACACAAATATGAACAACATTAGCAGAGTACTGGATAAAAATCCCTTGAGAGCCATTCTTTCCATAATTAGACACTAACATTTCAATTACCCCTACATACGATGATTACTAGTATGAACTCTAGTATGGTAGGATTTTTCTAACATATAGTCAACATCTACATAGTATTTTAAAGCTATTATGATATATGCTAAGAATTAGAAATTGTGACTGTTGTAAAAGTGATATGCCAAGTACCAAATACACCAGAAAAAAAAAAGTACCTTGTACCAAGGTACCAAGCACCTTGGATGGTGAAATTTTAAAAGAACTTCAAGGTAATGTAAACACCACTGTACCACTATACTACCTGTCATTTATAACAGCAGCTCACATTTATAAGGTGATTCAAGGTTTACAAAACACTTTCCCCACAATAACTATGTAATGTAGATAGTACATGTATTATTATTCCTATTTTATAGATGAGGAAACTGAAGCTCAGAGAGGTTAAGTGACTAGTCCATGGCCACACAGATAATACTGGAGCTGGGGTTTGAACTAAAATTTTCGTACTCCAAGATTATTTCCACAATACTACGCTGTGTCTTATGGCTACCACAAGTGGCAATCACCATCATTTTGATCATAGCTGTTACTTTTATCTAAGGTTTTATAAATCTAGGTTTGCTGTTATCCTTCCTTCTTGAAGAGGACCAAAATGACATCAGTATGTTGGGGTCAAGGTACAGGTACAGTGTATCCAACTGTGGCTGATCAGACTAATACAAACTCAGAAGGCTCTACCACAGGTCAGGCACAGGTAGTCCACATGAACATTTGGAGTGGAGATGTCTCTTAATCTGTGCATCTTGTGTTACATGTCACTCTATGTCTCCTTTGGTTTGACTGTCTCACTCATGCAAATATATCAGGTGGTTGGTAGCTGTGACTGAACAATGTGGCAACTGGGTATTTATGTAAATTAGACAAAGAGAAAATATAATCCATATGCAAACAAAAGCTAAACTACTTCCTAGAGTTTTAGAGAATCCTTTTTACCACAACCGTAGCAGATAGTAATCTAATCTCTGACTAAATAATTCCAATGGTGGTAAGCTAACCACTTCACTTAGCAGCACCACCACACTGTTGAACACCTTTAATTGTTAGAATACTCTTATATTGAGTCAAAATTTGCTTCCCTGTAATTTCTTTGAAGTGCTATATTTAAATCTTAGTAGTAGACCAAATTAGTTAGTAAATGAAATTTAAAAATACTCAGACTATATTATATAAAGTATATGAAAAGTATTACAGAGTAACATGAATCTCACATATTTTTACAACGTTTTATAGGTAACAGCTTTGTTAATCAGAAATGTCTGTCAACTATTAAGAACTCTACATGACCTGACAAGATAGTGAAACCTTTCAGAGTTAGCAGTATTCCTAATATTCTGATTTTTTTTTCATTTTAGTAAAAGTATGTTAAACTAAGTAGGGATGAGAATTACATTTTGGGGGGGGTTAAATTATCAGCTTAGAGTTGTTCTTAGTCTTCCTTGTTTCATTTCATACTGTTTTCAGAAACTATAGTCAACTTATCTTCCCCTCAGTGTTAGATTCACTCACTAACACAGGAATGGTTTCCCGAGTTAAAACTTCTTAATCAACTTTGGCATACTCAGATCCTCCACAAAAATCTTTCTCTGATGCTTCATAGTGGAATGGATGTGATCCCAGGTTTTTTAAGACTATGCCACCAAAATATGTATGTTCTGATAGATTCTACCAACCTAGAAAGGATTACTATGGTCTCAGTGATAGACTAGTTAATGAGGTGGCTCATTACCAAACGATGGACACAAGATGATGAATTCTTTGTCCACAGCAACAAATGAAACAAAGAAAAATACAAAATTATACTCAGCTTTCTGAAGTCCTTTTTATTTATGCAGTAACTAGTGGCTAAGAATTGCAGTTTTTTAGATCAAATAAAAAAGATTAACTTAAGTGTTGATGCTTTAAATATATGCTCCATATCCAATGCTTAACAAGTCAATCAATTACTGGAAGAACTGAACTTATCAGTATTGACATCATATATGAATGAATGAAACTAGAAGATGTAAAGATATTCCACATTTTGCTTAGAGAATAGAGGAATTGGTGAAGTTGCTTTCATCACATGAAAAAGGAAACATCATTTCATGGAACACTGTGATATCTTGCCTACAGCATTAACACTGAACATAAACAAAAAGACCACTATGGAGATAACTGCAACTTATAAATTATCATCTGTTGCAGAAGACAAAGAGAGAGTCAGTCGGGATTAAGTGACTCCTGACTCCAAGGCCAGAGCTCTATCCACTGCACCACCTACCTGCTTCAGAGAGAGAAATTCTACAAAGAACTCTGCAAGATCTTCCAGACCAAGTCATTTTAGACACTGATTCTTGGAGATGGACATGGCAAGTACTGTACCTCATAGAAACTCAGATTTACTATTTAAGAAACAGGATATAATTGATGAGGAATTATGGGAATTATTCTTATTATGTCAATCGGATCATCAACTAGTTTCTTTTTCTTTTGGCTTTTTGGTGAGGCAGTCAGGGTTAAGTGACTTACCCAGGGCCACACAGCTAGTGTCAAGTGTCTGAGGCTGGATTTGAACTCAGGTCCTCTAGGGCTGGAGCTCTATTCACCATCTAGCTGTCCCCCATCAACTAGTTAAATCAATATATAACTAGAATAGAGATGAGAAGACCACACTTATGACAATTACAACTACTCTATGATATGAACTACCTTGTAAAATAGTAAATAAAAAGAGGAAAACATTGTTGCTGTCTATTTTTATTTCCAACAGAAGTTTAACTGCAAAAAAGTAATCACTATAGAGAATAGTCCAAAAGAACCCAGAAACTGCCTATTCCAGTAAAATTTCTAGACAAGGAGGTCAGGGTAGCAAAAAGCAATGCTAATCTACTATATAAGTCCATATATTAAAAAGTTATAGAGAACAGTGGAAGATTAAAAATTATATTGCCTCAGAAAGTGGGGAATAGTAGTAGGAAAAATGAGTCTTCGGAAAGCTCGGTAACAGATTACTGCATGGAAACAAGTCAGATGATTGCAAGAAAATTTATAAATGAAACTGCAAGAATAGAAAAAAAACCTGGTAGCATTTCTGCATTATTCCATTTTCATCTTCTGAGTGTAACCACACATTTGAATTCATAACATAACATTTAAGAAAATGAAGTCAAGAACAATTAGGCTAGACCAAATCAACAAAAATATGTAACTAAAAGTCAGTCACCTAGCTTTTATTAAGAGCTTGCTACTGCCAGGCACAGACTGTGTTGAGCACCAGAGTATAAGTAGTATGGTGTAGTGGAAATATCACTGATTTTTTTTTTGTTTTTTGGTGAGGCAGCCAGAGTTAAGTGACTTGCCCAGGGTCACACAGTTGGTAAGTGTCAAGTGTCTGAGGCGTATATGAACTCAGGTATTCCTGATTCCAAGGCCAGAGCTCTGTCCACTGTGCCACCTAGCTGCCCTGAAATATCACTGAGCTTGAAGAGCTCTGTTTCAGTCTTACCTCAGACCCAAATTGTGTGAACAGGGGTAACTAACTTAAGGCCTATGAGCTTGTTTCTTCATTTGTAAAATGGGGGTGATAATAATACCTGTAAGTACCTACTGTGAGGGGTTTTGAGGCTCTAATGAGAGCAGGTACATAAAGGGCTTTGCAAACCTTTAAGTGTTATGTAACTATCAGCTGTAATACTTATTACCAACCCACTCTGCTACTTTCTCAGCTCCATAAAGTCTTTATGAGAACACTCTTCATACATATAGAGGGCACTGTTGTAGAAAATGAGAAGGGAATAGACAGGCTTCCACAAATGATCTTCTACAGAAGGCTGCATCCTCAGTTATACAACTGATTAAAAGGTGATAAAAGAACCCAAGACCCTGCTCCTTGTTGATTATGAAAGACTTAGAATAAAATGTAGCCTTAAAGGCTCTCATGCAACAAAGTGTCACATGTGTACAATAATATCAGCTAAGATGTCTAAGTAGAGGATCTTGAGATACAACCACAGAGGTAATTTTTTTTCAGTGATTCCCCTATCAATATTTATTGAGGTATAAAATAGGAGATATATGCTAACCAAAGCTGTTTTGCCTCTGATATGGACAAAGCCTAAATGGAAGAGGTATTGATGCTCTCGTTTGAAAATAATATCACAGCCCAGAATACTTTATGACCTCCCCACTCAAATGACATTCAAAAGAGATCAGTTCAACAATATATTCAGGAAAAAAAATGATAAAGCATACCTATTGCTCAAACTATGATATACAAGTGGATAGGTAGTCCATTCAGTTAGATCAAGAGTAAATATATCTTGAATGGGTATGAAGATTGATGGTAAGCTGGTCCAGAACTGAATCGGAGGAAAAAAACTGGCTGGACAGCATTTGGGAAATTGCCAGTGCTTTTCATGATCTGGATTTCAAGCTATCACCTCACATAGAAATTTATCTTCAGTACAAATAGATCTGTAACCACTTAAAAGAATTTAGGCTAGTAATCCACACAGGAAAAACCAAATGGATGAGTATGGATATAGTAACTAACTACCCATACTATATGCAGTTAAATGGACAATTTACAGCACTTGTCCATCAGTTTATGTCTAGGATTGACAAATGAACAAATGAAATGAGTTTCTACAGCAAACTACATCCTCAGTTATACAATTGTTAAAAGGTGATACAGAAAACAAGACCCTGATGTTTGTTGATTATGAAAGACTTAGAATAAAATGTAGCCTTAAAGGCTCTCCTGCAAGAAAGTGTTAGGCTGGGCCTAGCTGGGCTGAGAACTACACAGCAAAAAGAGGGCTAGACTGCTTTCAAGAAACTGAAGCAACCACTTGCCTTTTAAAAAATATCGATGTTCTGCTCATGTTGTTGCATAGATACACATCATGGAGCACTGCAGTTTGCAAAGAATTCAAAATGAGCATTGCACAGAAGGCAAGGAAGAGGTGCACAGTTGATGAGAATTTGTAACAAATGAGGTACTTTGTAGAGATGGAGTAAAGGATGTTATAGGTAAATGTGTGAACAAAAAAGACTGACTTCTCCTTGTGAAGGAACACTGCCAGACTGTCCCAGTGCTCCACTGTAATCCTGTCCATCAAGAAAAAGTGAGGAAAGCTCCCACCATGACGTGGAATGCCTCTATAGTGGTTATGGGCAACATGGACAAAAATAGCACAGGAAAGTCAAGCATGGATAGATTGCAATTTACATTGTTGGAAGAACATCTAAATCGATGAAGTTACAGATCCATATGAGTTATATCAGATACATAGTTGCAAGTCATGAATACCATACTTTCTGAAAAACCATAATTGCAGGTGATTCAAACAACAACAGAGATGCATGGTAGGAGTAAATAGGCTATAGTATATTACTTATGGCGACTAATATACAAGAACTAACATAAAAGGCATACCTAGAAAGGTACAACCAGATGAGGTAGGCCAGTTATGTTGTAAGAAGGGAAAACAGATGAGCAGCCTGAGTGACATGTAGGTGTCCACTGAATCTTAAAAGACCTAGAAAAAAGATACTGTATGGAGAATTTATTGGAGGACACAGAAAAAATTTGCCTAGGATGAAAAAGCATGGATGAACTTTGCTTTGCACTACTGGAGGGAATACCTACTGCTGAAATCTCAGATCCACTGAAGTACATTTAGCTAAGTATAATGGCATATTTCTGAGACCTGGTCAGAACTGCTTTATCAGTCTTCTGGTCTTCCACTCATATCAGGATTCCCCCTTTTTTACTCAAAGCCTTAATTGGACATATGACAGAAGTGCATTCTTAATGGTCACATCCTTTATACATTTAGCAAAAGACACTTAAAACATATATACAGAAAATCATAGTTTTATCCAGGTATCTTACCACCTCCTTGGTTCATATTCTTCCTTTGGGCTGAGTGATGTTATGGTTGTACAGTCATTTTGTTTGTTACACTGTCCCCTCTTCAAAGTTAGGAATTTGCAGGTCAGGAGTCAACTACTGCCTAACCCTCATCTAAGGCTTACCTGAGTGGATTTTTTTTTCTTTTAAAAAGATAAATACTGGTATGTCTCTTTCTGTAATGTACTTTAATTTGTCAGTACCCCAAGATAATTTGAGGGAGAGGTAGTAGTGGTTTTGAAATTAATTTAAAGAAACAGGTTTGGTTTGAGAGTTGGGTAACATGAGGCAAACATTCGACTGCAAGCAGCTACAAAGACAAAGAAGGCCTGGGTTCGAATCCCAGCTCTGCCCCCTACTACTGGTATAGCCTCAGGCAAATCCCTTCCCTTCTCTAAGCCTCAGTTTACTAATTTGTAAAATGAGGAGGGATTGGGCTAGACGATCTCTACAGGGTCCCTTCCAACTCTAAACCCTATGACACTAGGATAGGAAGGGAATGAGGGTTGATGACCTGGAGAGGCGGAATTCCCAAGACCTGGGGAGGCCATGACAAGGCCCTCCGGAGAGGGCCAGTCACCTCACAAGGCTGGCATCGGGGATCTCTGTCCTCCAACAACAAACGGGCGGCTCGGCCAAGGTCCCAGGTGGGAAGAGAGGAGGCGGAAAAGCCGCTGCTTCGCGGTCCGGCTCGATCTTGTCTTGCTGGGTGAGCGGACGCAGCCACGTCTCAACCACCAGCAAGTTCGTTAGGCGCAGAAGAGCTCCGACGGTGCGGGGCAGAGGCGGAGAGCGAACCCACCACTCCCTTCCACGCACTTCCGGGTCCTGTCACCGACTCTTCTCCAAAGCCGACCCAATTGGCTCTCGTCAAAGGGGCGGGGACTCGTTCCCAAGGACCTAACCACGCGCCCTATACCGCAGCCAACGAGAGCAGAAGAATCCGGGAGGTTCTCGCGCGAGCAAGGAAGCATCGCGAGAGGATGAGGTGGTTCTCCTTCCCCGCCCCCTTCCCCCTTCTTCCTTTTCCCGCCTGTTCTCGTCTGTGGAAGGGCAGGAGGCGTCGGCTTCGGTTTGAACTGTCCTCGCGGCCCCCTTCTCCTGCACCCCGGGTAAAAGCAGCCTGGATTTGCCCCCGTTGCCCTGTCACCTGCTCACCGCGGCAGGGCAGTCTTTGGAGGGCGAGAACTCTGTAGGACGTGTTCCCAGCCCGGATCCTGGTCGGGAAGGATGGGTTGCCCCCAGCCTTCCAGCCCCGCCCCCAACCCGGCCGGGGTTCCGGGACTCTTTGGGCTTCCGGCCAGTGCGATGATCCCTGGGCCAGCGAGGACCGGGCCTTGGAGGGGGAAACTTGTGGTCATTTTTGTTAGCTCAGCCCCTGCCATTCGCGTTGGCATCCATTGCCTGTCCCGGATCTCCCTTCCCCTCACGGTTTTCTAGGGTCTGCCTGCGGGCACCTGTTGTCTCTGTAGACCACGTGTGTTGTTATTTACTGAGACTTTAAGCTTGAATCCATTTGTTTGCGAAGGGTAAATTTCCTATTAAATAGAAGGATGACTTTAAGAATTAGATAATTGCTATCATGAACGCAATGCAGTCCTTGCCTTTCAAGAAAAAATCAGTTATATATATATTGTGGGAACCCTTCTTCCTTCAGTATTTGAAGACAGGGATTTCCCTCTCTCAGCTCCCCAAGGAAATGGGAAAGCTCATTGGAAAAAGATCCTCATTGTAAAGAGACCAACCTAATAATGGGTCTTGAGTGACATTGAAAGTGTACTTTTTGCTCTGTTTTTACAGTATATTAGTTTTTTAAGTTATATAAAATTGTGTATTCTATATAAATAAACAAGGGGCAGCTGTTTTAGTGGGATATATAACATTACATTTTATAGTTAAAGTTATATAATTTAAATAATGTGATATAATTATGTGTTGCATCATATTCGCATATACACACGTATATACAAGAGGCTAGTGTGATTTTTACATATTGTATGTATCATGTACACATGTGTACATATAGCATGCACACAAAAGACAGCTAATTTAATGAGATTGCAATCAGGCCCCTGAGTTAGAAAGGTCATAGGTGACTGGGCAAGTTACTTAACTTTTAAGTGCTTCAAGCACCAAAGAGTTGTAGAATTTAACACATTTTAAATATGGGTAATTAATTTTTTTGTTTATAAAATATGTTGTGTAAATATGTAAATGCTCTGCAAATGCATTTTTAAAAATCATTTTGTTTTTTAGAACTGGCTTGGAGAATTTGAAATCCACAATAAATTTCCTGACCAGAAGGACCTTAGGCAATATTAGAAGCTATTTGGTGAGAGTGCTGGCCCCTAGCAACTGGGTTGAAGGTAGAAGAAATGAATTCTGCAGATACACTGTAAGCCTGAGTTCCTTCCAGAATCTTTGGGGTTTTTTCTCTCCCAAGACTTTTCGTTTTGCTTATGTAAGGAAGAATTGCTTATGTGTATCGATTGTATGTATTTTGCTTATGAATTCAAATTTTAGGGTATTAAACACATTTATTTCACTTTTCAAAAAGCTCATGGAGTCTTTAATTTCTAATGCATGCAAAAATAGGGAAAGGGTATATGTATTTAATTGTTAGGTGTGGATTGTTAAGTGTGAAGCAGCGTGGTGTAATGGCTCTTTAGCCAGCCTTGAAGCCAGAAAAGTTTAAGATTGTAAGTTACAGACAATGTGCCAACCTGCATTAATAGAGAAATTTTTTCCTAAGAGTTCTTATACCAGTGAACTCATGGATCCTATCCCCCTAATGTACTATGTAAAAACTTCCAATTTTTTCCAGCATTTAAAAATAGTATTGAGGTCAGTAAATTTTTGATTAATTCTTGCTGTGTGAGCACTGGTGTGAGTGCTGGGGAAGATGTGAGGTTTAGGTAAGACATTGCCCCTGTCCTCATACAGCCCCTCTAATAACTCAGTTCTGAAGCATTTTAAAGTTTGCAAAGTGCTTTCCAGACATTTCCTATGATCCTCACAACAACCCTGTGAGATACCTACTACAAATATTGTTACTCACATTTTACAAGTGAGGAAATTATAACACAAAATATTGCATAAGTGCATAACAAAGTTATGTAAGGTGTAAGGCCTTTGATGATTTGAAGGTCATTATCTTGGGGTAGGGAGCAGGATGAATCAGGGAATGATTTCTTGAGAAGTTGGTATTTAAATTGGGCTCTCAGTAGACAGGAGGTAGTAGAAAGGACATTCCCGATAAGTAAAAATGTGAACAAAGACAGTAGGAAATTATAGGATGTGTACAGGGGTGGTGCCTAGTCTAATTGGGTTGGCATTTCAGGTGTATGAAAAGAATATGCATTAAAACTGGAAAGTTTGAGGAGGACCAGATTGTGCAGGGGCACGAATGCCAGGCCAAGGAGCTTGAACTTTACCTGCTAGGAAATAGGATTTTGAGCAAGGGAGTGATATGTGATAGTGATAGTCTAGCAGTTGTCCGAAGGAAGAATGAGGAGAGCTGAAGTTGAAATAGTAGTGAGGAGATTTTTTACAATTGAGGTTAATGGTAATGACAGTGATGATACAGAGTGATATGTGATGATATAATATGATATGATACAGTGGTGGTGGCATTGGGAAGAGGTGGAAAAAGATATGAGAGGCTGCAGAGGAAAAAGTGACAAGATTTAGCAATTGGTTGTACATGAGAGATGAGAAAGAGGAACCAGAGATAAATTAAAGTTATGTTCATGAGAGACTTGGTAAATAATAGTGCCATTAACAGAAGTAATGAAGTAAGATGGTGTAGTGTTTTTGGGAAAGATAATAGGCTGGGTTTAGTACATAGATGCTGACAAGACATCTGTAGAGATGTGTCTTATAGGTAGTGTTGAACTAACATTTTTGAATGTTATTTTCAGACTAACAGTTAGCCAGTAAGTCTGATAAAAGGTAAACTCTTAGAGTGGTAAATAGCAGTTTTGTTGGAAAATGGAGTTTAATTAATTTCATGAGGGATAACTACACTTGCAAGTGTTACTAAGACTTACCTGTGTACACAGCAAGCAAGCTACTTGGTCATCATTGCACAAATATTTCGGAAGAGAACCTTTTCTTGTGGCTGCATATTTTATTTGGGATATTCCATATATTCAGTTCAGTTCAGCATTTATTTAAGAGCATAATTTCCCCCTTTTTATTCATTTCTGTAGCATCTACTGTGTGCTAGAAACTGCTGAGTGCTTTATAACTTAACTCATTTGACATGTACTAATGACTTGAGATTTTTTTAAAGTATGAAAGTAGTGTGCTAAAAATCTCTTCTAAAAATTTGTGAATTACTTTTTATTAAATTCTTTTCTTTCCAATACAGTGATGATGAAGATACTTTTAAAATTTTGGTTGCAACAGACATTCATCTTGGATTTATGGAGAAAGATGCGGTCCGAGGAAATGATACATTTGTAACATTAGATGAAATTTTGAGACTTGCCCAGGAAAATGAAGTAAGTTAATGTATATCTTTGGTGGAATTTCTGCTCTATTGCCATTAACCAAAGGATTATTCCCTCTGCTCCATGATATTCAAAGAGTTTACCTATGTGTTCAGCTGGCCTGTGAATGTTGTCAATGTGATTATAGAGCTAGTTCAATTAAACACTTTAGAAATGGAGTTTACTATGTTTTAAAAAAATCTTTATAAGCTGTATATAGTAGAACTGTATTTGCAGGTGCTAGTGACAAAAATACCTCTACTCATACACACACACACACACACACACACACTTTTTTTTTATCACAGCTTAGTTGAAATCTCCCATTTCTTTGGGGGTTTTTTTGTCCTTAATTGGGACAATTAAGAATCTAATATTGTCCTTTTTATTTTGGACTGATTACACTTTAGTATGAATACTTTTTACTTAATTGGCATGTGTATTTTGGTTTTTTTATTTCTGATTGTAGAGGAAAAAGCTGTGTTTTCTAAAAGATTTCAGGCATCTGTCAGCAAGCAGGTGATATTTTTGGGGGATGAGGAAGGTGGGTCAGCGAGATCCTGGAATTACACAAAACTTACTTGTTAAGTTGGCCCTAAAGATAAACTTGATTGGGTCTTTTTAGATTGTAGTGGTCGGAGGTGAGGGACAGTGACAGTGTTATCTTCTTGTAGGATTCCCTATTCTGGAGAGGATATCAGCCTCTGTTGTAGCTTTTCATGGAAGCCCATTGTCTATTGAAAATAGAAGAGGCAATATTCTTTATCTCCAGCTTATTCTAGGACCTAGTGCCTACCTTAACCTAGCATAGAACAATAGGCTAGACCTTCCCTCTGGGTAATTGTCCTTTTCCCCTCTGCCATACACGCAAAAGTATTCCTGCCTGAGCATTAGGTTAGTATCCATTTTCTCCAAGCTTTTTCCAACTCTGACGTCTGTCCCAAGATTCCTGGATGCTTCATTTTATTTTGGGTTGCATATCTTGGGCTTTCTGTTAAGAGATGTTTCTGTTAAGAAACAGTGTCCAGAATGAGGGAGGTAATAGTGCTACTATATTCTGGTCTAGTCAACACATTTGGAGTTGTATATTCAGTTTTGGTACCATATTGAGAAGGACACTGATAAATTAGAGAGTCTCCAGGAGATCATTTGAGTTAATGAGAAGACTGGAAATCTTGGCATATGAAGATAGGTTGGAGACACTGAAATTGATTAACCTAGAGAAGAGAAGACAACAAGGGTTAGGATAACTGTTCTTGAGTAACTGAGAGGCCTTCATTTGGAAGAGGGGTTAGACTTGTTCTCCTTGGCAGAACTACAAACAATGGATGGAAGTTACACAGAGCAGATTTTAGCTTGATATGAAGAAAAACTAAAAGGACTATCTAGAAGGAAAATGGGCAGCTTTGGGAGATTATGAGTTCCCCATCATTGAACCTCTGAAGTGGATGCTTGTTTGGGACTGTTGGAGTGGAAGTTCCTTCTCAGCTGTTTATTGGACGAAATCGTTTCCAAGATTTTTTGATTGTTGTGTGTCAGTAAAACTCTTAAAAGTTTTTTAACTTTCTCAGTGTCATTACTTATCTATTGACTTTCAGTCAATTTTAATAATAGAAAAGTAGAATTGTTGAGGCTTGATGTCCTTGGATGGTGGATTTGTAGAATAAAATGAGAAAGTGCTTTGAGTAATTATAAAAAAGCAGGTTCTTATAGTTATTTACTATATAAAACAGTTTAGGACTGTAAATTTCCACATTTATTCAGAATTTCTAGCTGGAAATTTAAGTTTTAGATAATAAACAATTCATTGTAGTAGCATGAAATATATTGACTCTAAGATAATTATTTTCTAGGTGGATTTTATTTTGTTAGGTGGTGATCTTTTTCATGAAAACAAACCCTCAAGAAAAACATTGCATACTTGTCTGGAATTATTAAGAAAATACTGTATGGGTGATCGTCCAGTACAATTTGAAATTCTCAGTGATCAGTCAGTCAACTTTGGTTTTAGTAAGTAAGTATGTTGAAATGATTGAAATATCTAACTTAATTGTGTATACAATAAATTAATTGTATACAATAAAAATATGTTAATATTAACTACTTAAGTTTCATTGCAATCAAATTACACTTTTTGAAAAATGTTGACTTTTAATATTCTTACTGTATCAAGAATCTTCTACAGTTTCAAACCAAATTTACATATATATATACATATATATATATATATATACATATATATGTATATATACATATATATATGTGTACACACACCACACACACACACACACACACACATGTATTTTTATATATTTGGTAAATTTTGGTAATTATCTTTCAGAATTGCTTTGTTAATTTTTATTATACTATTTTGAATATGTTTTTTTAGACAGCCCTAGTACTGTGACCATATCTGAAAATGTTTCTATAGGAGTGTAGTGTTCTTTTTGTTATGAAGTGCAAAACATTGTCCAAAACACTGCGTGTAATATATACTACATGCAGTTAATGTTTTGTATCTTTATTTAACTTTTATATCTTTATTTAACTTATCAGAGTCAAGTCCCTAGGCTTTTTCCCCCAAGAAATTAAGGGTAGAGACACTTAGTTTTCATGGCATCATTTTTTATTTAACACATTTGTTGACATTTACTTGAGTTCTTGTTCACCGTCTCCCTCTTCAGCTCCCTTACTGTGCTTACTACATTGTTTTGCACTTAATAGGCACTTCATAAATATTGGTTGAAGTTGAAGAATGGGCAGGGGGCTACAAGGATGGAGGTTGAGATTTTCCTTCCACATGGTTGTTACCAAGGAAGGGCCTTTAAACCAATTTTTAACTGTCCTTGAGCTCATCGGAAAGTCGTGAATTAGACTGACAGGAAATTTAGAGAAAACCTATTGGGTTGAAGGTATGTGGAAACCTGAGAAAAGAATAATCACATTCTTTTTTTCAAAGGAATGTAAAAAGAAGGAAATTTGGGAAACATCACTACTTGTCTTATAGTATGGCTTTTTTTGTTTGAAGGTTTATGAATTCTCATAATACCAGATATATCTTAATATACTTCTCTTAATGCTAATCCCAAAGAGCATTTAAAAATTGAATATGAATGATTTTTGGATTATTCCTACTGATATTTCCTTCCATCAGCATATAGAGTAATTTTTTATCTACTATTCAGCTTCCATCTTTTAGTTTGTAATCACAACTATTATCATTTAATAATTATATACATTTCAAATTTGTGCTCTTATTATTTAGTAATTACATAAATTTCAGTGGCTGATATTTGCAGACAATAGCTTTTGTCCTCTAAACATTTTATTTTATTAACACCTTCTTTATGTTTAGGTTTCCATGGGTGAACTACCAAGATGGCAATCTCAACATTTCTATTCCAGTTTTTAGTGTTCACGGCAATCATGATGATCCCACAGGGGTAATTATCATATTCTGGAGTTTGAGGTTGTAGAAATAGCCAATTCTGTTTTACCTTGGGAGTAGGTTATTTTAAAAAAAATTTATGCTATGTTTAAGTGAAATATTACAAGACCCAGAGGAAATTTCTGAGTGTAGCTTCTTTAGCCTCTTCTACTGACTTGTAAATGATTTATAACTGGAATAAGAATTGGATGACTGGGTTTTTATTCCTTTTGTGGTGTTAAAGGTAGGTAGAGACTCATCTAGAGGAAAAAATGATTATTCCACAAATAGTTTCAAACCTTAACTAAGTATCTTGAGAGAAGCTAAAGGTCTACATCTCAGAGTATTTGCTTTGATTTAAATTCTTTAGGCTATTAATATTCTAAATCATTCTTTATCTATAATTTTTGTTTTTCACTGTTTAGTTTACAAAATGCTTATTTCATGACTAATTGTGCTTTAAAATGGCTATGGTATATATTCATTATATCCAGTTTCTAAGACATTTTAACTGTACTTAGCATGTGATTAGAGTAGGATATATCATTTATATTGTATTATTATATCATATTAAGGCAACTTGGTGGTGTAGTGAATAGAGTGTTGGGGCCGAAGTCAGGAAAACCTGAGGTCAAATCCAACATCACACACTTACTAGCTGTGACCCTCGGCAAGTCGCTTAATCTCTATTTGCCTCAGTTTCCTCTGCTGTAAAATGGGGATAATAATAGCAACATCAAAGGATTGTTTTGAGGATAATAATTATAAAGTGCTTAACACAATGTCTGGCACATAGTGTTATATAAATGCTTATCCCCACACCAGCCCTGTTACCTTTTATAATGCCAAAAAAGACCTCATTTCAGAGTGAAATAGAAGTTGGCCATTTTTATCATATACCTTGTTTAACCATCAAACGTAAGTGTTCTGAACTATGTTGTTACACATCTGTGTGGTAAACTTTTATTATTTCATAATATGTGATGATGTGGAGATTTCTTTCCTTCCTCAAGTTTCCCAGGAACACTTTGTTATGCTCTCTCCTTTGCCTCCATCACTCATTATTTTGTATTATAATTCTATCTGTATATATTGTATCCCTTCTAGGAGAATTTAAACTTCTTGAATACAGGAAAGATATTCAATTACTTAACAAACATTCTTTAAGATTTACTGTGCACTCTGTTCAGTAGGGATACAAAGACAAAAGGGAGGCAAGGCAGTCTGTACCCTCAAGGAGCTTATATTCTACAAAGGGGGATAATGGTCTTCAGGGATAAATACAGAATATTTGCAAATAAAACTACATAGTGATGAGAGGAAGCTCACAACTGGGAGAATAAAGAAAGAACTCTTGAAGAGGGGCACATGAGCTATGCTTTGAAGGGAGCAGGGGGTTCAAAGAAGAAAATGTTAGGAAGAAGAGCATTCTAGCCATGTGGGAGAGTCTGTGTAAAGATACCCAGATAGCAGATGGAATGATATGTATAGGGAACAGCAATTATACCAGTTTGGCTGATCCTACATAAAGAAGGTAAGGGGAAGTAATGTATAAATCATTTTGGAAAGATAGGCTGGTTCCAGATTGTAAAGGTTGTTAAATGTCGAAAAGAGGAGTTTAAAAAGCCATTGAAGCTTGTTGAACAAGGGTGTTATATATCAAATGTGTTCTTTAGGAATATTGCTTTAGCAGGCTCTATGGATGATGGATTAAGGAAAAGAGAGGCCTGAGGTAGGGTGATTATTTGGGAGGCTATTTAATAATTTGGGTGGACCTTGACTAATGTGACTTTATGTTTAGACAGAAGGGGGTGAGTGCAAGATATAATGAGGAAGTAGGGGGCAGCTAGGTGGCACAATGGATAGAGTACTGGCCCTGAAGTCAGGAGGACCTGAGTTCAAATCTGGCCTCAGACAAAACACTTGACACTAGCTGTGTGACCCTGGGCGAGTCATTTATCCCCAATTGCCTTAAAAAAAAAAGAGATGTAATGAGGAAGTAAACTTGGCAGGTAAATCAAAGCAGAGTTTAGGATGACATAGATTGTGAACCTGGGTGACTGGAAGAATATTGATGCCTTCAACAGAAAGGATAAGAGTGGGGTAGCTAGGTGGCACAGTGGATAGAGCACTGGCACTGAAGTCAGGAGGACCAGAGTTCAAATCCAGTCTCAGACCAAACACTTGACACTTACTAGCTTTGTGACCCTGGGCAAGTCACTTAACCCCAATTACCTAAAAACAAACAAACAAACAAAGAATAAGAGTTACGGGTTTAGGGAGAAAGACAATGAGTTCTATTTTGAATGTGCAGAATTTGAGATGTATACAAAATATCCAAGTGGGGATGCAAGTAGGAAATTGGAGATTTGGGACTGGAACTCAGCAAAGACATGATGACTGGGTATAGAGATTTGGTAGTCTTCTGTATAATATGATAGTTGAATAAGGGCAACTGATGTGATTGCCCTGAGAGAGTATAGAGAGAGGAAAGGGCCAGGCTAGAGTCTTGGGTTAACAACCAGGTTAGAGAATATGATATAGGTGATAAACCTGCAAAAAAGACAGAGAATAATCAGTCTGACTGGTAGGAGGAGATTCACAATGATAGTGTCACAAAAACCCCAAGAGGTGAGAGTATCCAGAAGTAGATTAGTAGTGTCAGTCTTTATAATAGAAGTCAAAAAGTATGACAACTGGGAAAAGGCCATTGAATTGTGTAGTATAGAGCTCAATGGTAATCATGTATAGAGCAGATTCAGTTAAATGCTATGGACAGAAGCCAGATCAAAAGGGGCTCAGGAGTGAGAAAGGAAATGGATTTTTCTAGGGGTTTGGCTTAGAGGGTGGTTGTGGTTGTTTGTCCTTCATTCTCAAAGAGCACCATGACATCAGGAAGGTGATGCTATGACCTGCGTGTGAGTTGGATTTAAGTGAGGGAGGGCTGTGGAAGGTCATTGGCCTTACTTTCTCTTCTGAAGCCATCTAGGTCCAATGGCAAGATCAGGATGACTCCCTTGCAGGGGATGGTAGGGTCCAGTGAAGCACAAATCTTAAAGCATGGTTAAAATGTTGATAGTTAATTGTTATTATCATTAAGAAATGTGGCAGAGTTCTGGACATGATTAAAGGCAAGCAAGGAAGGAGCAAGGGGTGGAGGATACTTTGAAAATTAAGGGGAGAGAGGATGATTGAAGAAAAACTGTTGTGTTCCTGGTGCCATATGGTGCCTTAATGACAACAATAATATCCAATATTTATATCAGAAAGGTTAAAAAATGCTTTACATATGTTATTTCATTTGGTCCCACAATAACCATGAGGTAAGTTCTATTATGATGCTCATTTTATAGATGAGGAAAGTGAGGCTGAAGTGGAGAATGGTTTAGTGATTCAAGGTAAGGTCACACAGTAAAGCTTTGAATTTAAGCATTCCTAAGGTTCGCTGTGCCACCGAGGACAGTGTGAGGCAATTGGAGTTAAGGGATTTGCCCAGGGTCACATAGCTAGTAAGTGTCTGAAGCCATATTTCAACTCAGGTCCTCCTGACTTCAGGGTTGGTGCTCTCTCTGCTGTGCTAGCTAGCTACCTCACCATGTACTCTTAATGTTTGTTTACACATAAGACACTTAATAAATGGTTGTTGAATGAATGAAACAAACATTGATTTGTATCTAACATTTTTATAGGCAGATGCTCTCTGCGCATTGGATATTTTGAGTTGTGCAGGATTGGTGAATCACTTTGGACGTTCAATGTCTGTAGAAAAGATAGACATTAGTCCTATTTTGCTTCGAAAAGGCAGCACAAAAATTGCTCTCTATGGGTTAGGTAAGGTTCTTTTATTTTATTGCTGACGACATACATTTTGTCATTTGTTCAGTTGGTTAAGAATAATGTAAATGAATGTTTAAGTATCTGGAGATAAAAGAAGGAGGTTGCCGTGGGAAAAAAAAAAGATTAGTAACTTTTTTCTTTATTATCAGCTATAAAATTGATGTTTAAGTGAGGTAAACTTTTTTACTACTAGGGTTGTACTAATAACCTTAATATACTTTTAAAAAATAGCTTTGATGAAGAAACATTTTTTCATCTACTTAGTGATTAATATTTAGAGTTAATGAAATGTCTTAGTCCATGAAGAAGACTTAGTAAATGGAAAAACCACATAGCTATTTAAAAAATTTAGAATCAGGCTGACCTAAATAATGGCACTTGGAAAACTTACTTTGATCACATTCACCATCATTATCTTACACTTATTGACTGAAAATTATTTTACCAAGCTTTAGTTTGTGCAAATGCAAGATTATGAGGGCTTCTAAAACCAAATTTTAAATGGTGTAGTTAGACTTATTTGTTAGTCTTTTTTTTATCTTTAAAGTACTTTTTGGTCAGGAATAATTCTCTAGATTGAAGAATCAGCCAGGGAGCATTGTAACTTACAACCCAAAATTTGAATTCTTATTTTTCTTAGATGTTATATAGAGTATATGTACTATTGCCATGTACTCTAGTTACTGAGAATATGTGATATTTAGTAGTTTCTGCTCTATGAAGTTAGTAACATTTGTTTCTGAAATAAAATTCTTTGAAGATATGTTAAATGTTCTTTTCTATTAACTTATCCTTGTATATAATCACTTTTGGTCAACCATTTCCTGTAGATTAAATTCATCTTGATATTTTAGTCATCATTTTTGTGGCCTCGTCTTTTTTTTTTAAATCTGAGCAGTTTATTTTAATAACAGAAAATATCTTACAATCCCTTGTTGACATTAGTACTTATTTACCACATATTTTATGAAAGACTTCTAACATTATATTTATGTAATTACTTTTTCCAAGGAACTTAATGTCTTTTACATTGATCAGTGCCTATAATTACCTTTTGAAAACTAATAACAACTTATATTTCCATAGCAATTTAATGTTTATAAAGGGATTTCCTTACAACAGCCTTGTGATGTAAGTGAAAGGGAAGATGATGTTATAAAAATATGAAAGTAGGGCATAGATCACATGAGTAATTCTGTATTTTGTATACTGGTATAGCTGGGAGGGAGATACACTTTTGCTTCATGAACGTAATGTTATTATTCACTACATATTATCATTGCTCATTTATTTAAAATTTCTTTTAAATTATGTTAACCAATTCAAAAATCAGAAATAAATGTATTTCTGATTTAGAATTATTTGACATAATTAACAGGAATTTTAGGTGCAAATGACATTTTTATTCACTTATCAAGTATATGAAAGAATAGTGTCAGATGGCTTTTGGGGAGAATTGGTAGGTTTTTGTCAGTTCGATTGTTCCATTTAAGAAGTTCATCCTTGGCTTTGGAGTTACCACCTGATATCTTTGTAACCCTAGGCATTTCCACTATAGCTTGTAAACCAAAGATAGGAGAACACAACTCATAAAAAGTATTCTTTTTAATTATTGTCACAAGTAGAATAAAATGTTTTGTGAAATACATTTATTGTGTAAATACAGGACTGATGCCTTGTTTGTTACATAATAAGTTTAAAAAATAATATTGTCCTTTTCAGGATCTATTCCAGATGAAAGGTTGTATCGAATGTTTGTCAATAAACAAGTAACAATGTTGAGACCAAAGGAAGAAGAGAATAGTTGGTTTAACTTGTTTGTGATTCATCAAAACAGGTAAAAAGCATTTGACTGAATTTTGTTATACAACAAGCATATAAATCCACTGTTTTCTCTTTCATGCCATCCTCTTCATTTTCAGGTTGACCTATCTTCTCATTTCTCTAAAATTTCTCTATTTTAAGGGTTCTGTAAAGTTTAGAAATTTTTGCCTTAGAATCAGAATAAGCCTCTGTATTTAAAGCTTCCAACATCATAGGATCATAGATTTAGAGATGACCTTTTTTTTTTCTATTCATCTAGTTCTGCCTTTTACACATTAGGAAACTGAAACCCAAAGAAGTTAAGTGAATTGCCCAAGGTCACACAGATAGTAAGAGGTAGAGCTAGGATTCAAACCACCATTTCTGACTTCAAACCTAATATTGCTTGTCCTTAATGTCCTTTCCCATCAGCTCCCTATCACTGATTGAAACACTGATTTTAAGTTTCTGAGGAGGGAAAGAGAGAATATAATATTTTGAGTCATACTGTTCATAGTTAAAACTGGCTTCTTGAGTATTGGTAGAAGACAGTCTTTTCAACAAATATTTAATAAACATATGCAGTATCTAGTACTGGACCCTATGTTTCTGATCTCATTAGGTAGATAAAATGTTCATACTTGAAATAAAGCAAGATAAGAAGTGTTAGAAACTCTTCTTGTGAGGACTATAGTATTGTCAACTATTTAAATGCTCATGTTTATTACTCTAGGTCACTTTTTGCAGCCCCAGTTGTCCTTTTTTTTTTTCTGTGTTGTGACTAATAGAGAATGCAAAACTGTGCCTATGTCTACCAAGGTTTCATCTTCGCAGTTTCCAAAATGCTATTATTTCTGTAATCTTTCAGAATCAGTTGTTTGAACCAAACACTGATTCTGAATCAGTTGTTTGAACCAAACACTGATTCTCTATGTTCCGTGTGTTTAAACTGTATTCTAAACTTACACTAAATACTCTGGCCAGCACTAATTAGCTTACCCAAGATATTACCAACACCAGGGTTATCTCCTGATAGTCTCTTCTAGTCTTGGGGTAAGAGAGGGTATAATCATTCATTATTAGCAAATTATACCTCAGCACACAGTTACCATCTCTTCCAAATGTATCACATTGTGCCAGTATAAACAGTAGCAAAAAATAAAATAATTATTTAACTACATTCTCTAAGCTCCCAAGTCATGGTCCTTTTCAGATGCTCAAAGAGTTCATTCCTGTTATAAGAAATGCATTTTCTCAGTGATATCTCAGTTGCCAAATCTAAAGGCCTTTTTTCCAGTTCTCATCCTTCTTGACTTTGCTTCAGTCTTTGACACTATCGGTCACTCTCTTCTTTTAGATACTCCTTTCTCTCTAGGATTTTGAGACACTATTCCTCCTGGTTTTCCTCCTTTGTGTAGTATTCCTACTCCTTCTCAATCTTCATGGGATCTTCAGCCTTGGGTGTTTTCCCAAGACTTTATCCTGGGCCCTTTTTTCTTCAATCTTTATGTTATTTCATTTCATGATCTTATCAACTGCCTTGTATTCAATTATCATCTCTATGCTGATGATTCTCAGTCTTCTTTATTCAACCCTAATGTCTCTCCTGTCAAACCCTTTCTTCTTCCTAACTTTCCTATTGTTGTTGAGTGTACCACTAGACTCCTAGCTACCCAGGCTTGATAATAACTTGAGAGATTTTGCAAGATGTTAATTGATTGTCATGTGAGTGGTGTAGATGTAAATGTTGTGTGTTTATAGAAGGGGAATTACTGTTTGAGTGGTCAAGGAAGGTTTCATTTATGAGGTGAAACTTGCTCTAGGCTTTGAGAGATGCTTGTTTTTGATAAATTTACCTGAAATAAAATATTTGTTAAAGATGTTCAAAATGCTAAAAAAACATTCTGCAAATATGAAAACTACATTAGATGATCAAGTATACCTCCCTTTGGTATAACATTTTTTAAAGGCTGCTCTTTAGAGTTTAAAAATATTCTAAAAGATTTTCCCTGTGAGTGTGGTGAATATTTCTTTAGTTTTCTGTCATCTGCTTTTCACAGTCTGGATCAATCAATATGCTTATTGATCAGTTGTATTCAGCCTACCTCTCCAGCTTAATCTTAACATAACTCTCCTTTGTATGATGTAGTGGTCAAACTTTGCATACTGTAAGTCAAACTGGACTACTCTCTATCTCCATTCTTGTCCTGCCTCTGTGCCTTTAATCATTGCATCCCTGATTTCCTTTGTCTGTTGAAATTTCTTTTTCTAAGGCCCATTTCAGGAGTCATTTCCTCCATGAAGCCTTTTCTGATCTTCTCTAGCTCCATCTCCTTCTGCAATTTTTTCTTAGCATTTTGAACCTTTCTTTAGTATATTTTGTAAGGTTATTTTATATTACAATTATTAGTCTATATTATCTCTTTTTGATTACAAACTTTTTGAGGACAAAATTTTGTCTTATTTCATTTTTGTAATGCCATGGCCCAACAGTTCCTTTCACATAGTAGGTACTTATTTGCTGAATTGAATTTCTTATCCTGAAGCCTAAATTATATTCTGAAGCCTAAATTAAGTTTACTTGTGGGGAAGCTTTCTCATGATGAATTTTAATAACTCATTTTTTCATTACTTCTCATTATCTCTTCAGACTTATCTTAGTTATTTCTTCATGTGTACTTGTGATATTTTATTCATTCTGTCATTCTGCTTGATTATATAGAATCATAAATGTGCCTAACAGGCATGTGACAGTCAGATATCTATTACTTGCATTATTATGCAGGGACTTGTTCTAAGCTTTGAATGCTCTCTAATAATACTGTCAAAAAGCCTCAAAATTCCTATCAGGGTGAATGTGATATCATTTTACGGATGATAAGATTGAGGCTACCCTAAGATCATTCAGCAAGGAAACAGGTTCTAGCACCATGGATCTCTTTTTACTGTTATTAGATCAATTTATATTCATTTAAAGGTGGGGAAAAAAGTTCCTTGTGGTTTTTTATACTTAGAGATGATGATAGGAATTTCAAAAGGAGTTGGAAAGATTTTTAGCTTTGTGTTTTATAAAGAGCAAATGGAAATTATTTTAAACTAAAAATGACCTATGAGGTTTGTTTGTTGTTTTTTTTTTTGATGTATATTCAAATAATCTTCTAGGATTATTTTGGATATGAATTTTTTTGTGTTCCATTTGAAATTTTTTTCAATCCTGGAAATCTATACTATGTTTATTTTTGCCTTTATCTTGCAATAGAAGTAAACATGGAGCCTCGAACTACATTCCAGAACAGTTTTTGGATGACTTCATCGATCTTGTTATTTGGGGTCATGAACACGAGTGTAAATAGCACCAACCAAAAACGAGCAGCAGCTCTTCTATGTTTCACAGCCTGGAAGTTCAGTGGTTACTTCCCTTTCCCCAGGAGAGGCTGTGAAAAAGTAAGTTCTTTTTAGGTTTTGGCAATTTGTATAAATTTCTTTTAAAATTGTTTTGTTAGTTTATAGGCTAAAACTAAATTATTCCTTATGCCCAAACACAGTTTTTTAATGAATCAGCCTGTCTTTTATCTATTTTTAAAGCACCATTGATGGGGCAACTAGGTGGCTCAGCGGATAGAGCACTGGTCCTGAATTCAGGAGGACCTGAGTTCAAATCCAGCCTCAGACACATAACACTTGCTAGCTGTGTGACCCTGGGCAAGTCACTTAACCCCATTGCCTAGCCAAAAAAAAAAAGGCACCATTCATCTCATAGATTCAAATTATATATGATTTTGCTATAATAGAATATTATGATATTTAACTTTTCTACTCTCTGATTTTGTATTTCCAAGTTTTTAGTCATTGTTATCTGAACAGGAAAAGAGTCTACTAGTGATGATATCTTATGATCCTATTTATGTTTATAATTAAATTCTCCTAACACTGCAGTTTTCCTTTACTAAGTTTTGTATTAGTGTCACAAGAATTATCAGTAATTCTTTTTCTAAATATATTCATTTAGCAAAGTATAATATATAGCATAATATACACTAAATATAGTCACAATTAGAAAGATTATTTGAAGTTTTTCATGTTAGAAAGGTATCTTATGGCATACCTTGTTTTACTACTTTGATTAATGTTTGATTATAAAATGATTACCTGTGATTAAAATTATACACAGTTCAAAGAAATTTTATTTTGTCTCAAGAAGTTTACCTATTCATGATGGTACTGTTTCTTGTTGTATCAGATGTTGTGTCCCTTTATGTAATTATAGAATAGTTTTTGAGAATTTGAAATAATCAAGCAAGCTAAGTTTTCTTCTTAACTGTACTCTTCACTTATTGTTGTGGTAAATCATTTTATCACTATACTTTGACATCTAATTGATACTATCTTTGGAAAAACAATAAATTTTTCTGTAAGAAATTTTTTATTGTTGTTGTAAAGTTGCAATTATCTTAGACTTAAATTGTAAAATCGTTGGTTTTTTTTCTTTTTTCTTTTTTTTTTTTACTTTTGGTTAGGCAGTAGGGGTTAATTCACTTGCCCAGGGTCACACAGGTAGTATGTGTCAGGTGTCTGAGGCTGGATTTTAACTCAGGTCCTCCTGACTTCAAGGCCAGAGCTCTATCCACTGCACCACCTAGCTGCCCCCAAAATCTCTATTTTTTAAGTGAGTAATTTTGTAAAGCTATTTAAGATATTTGTAGGAGGTGCGTTAGATATACAACAGTTTCTTTATAAAAATTCAGAAGACTTTGTTCTCAGATATGCCTTTTTCCTTCATTTTTAGACATGTTGGTTTACTGCGCATTAAGGGGAGAAAGATGAATATGCAAAAAATTCCTTTAAAGACAGTACGACAGTTTTTCATAGAGGATATAGTACTTGCTGATCATCCAAATATTTTTAATCCAAATAGTCTTAAAGTAACTCAAGCAATACAAAATTTTTGTTTGGAGAAGGTAAATATTTTAATTTTTAAAAATCATTGGAGAGGGTGGGGAAACAAGAATATTTTTGATTTTGAAGTTACTCCATATTGTTTAAGTTAATTTTAATAATAATTTAAAATACACAGCAAGTAGAATAATTTAAAATTAGCAGAAATCTTTAGAAAGAGAGAGGAAAGAACATATTGAGATGTATCTTGTGTAGGGATGATTTGGGGCATTGAATGGTTATTTTATTAAGGCATTTGATGAAAGAAGTTAGAAATGGTATAGATGGGGGCATATTTTATGATAGCTAATACTTAATGAAAGAATTGTCATCATGAAATAGGAAAAAACATGAGTTTTTAAATAATATGGGGCTGCGTACTTATAGTAGGGAGGAGGTAATACCAAAATAAAATTAGATGAAAATAATTTCTGCTTGCTAATTTTTTTGTTTTTATGTTGAGGTTGAAGAAATGCTTGAAAATGCTGAAAGAGAACGTCTGGGAAATCCCCGGCAGCCTGAAAAACCTCTCATAAGATTAAGAGTATGATCTGTTTATATAAAATAAGCATTAGTTTATATACTGTTAATAAGTTTGTAATATAGATTTGAAACCCATTTACTTTAATGTATTGTAATAATGTTTTATTAGTAACTGAAATCTATCTTTAGTTAATTTTTTTTATTAGGTTCTTAAAATATACAGGAAAGAGATATTTCCAACTGGTAATGGGGGCATATGCTTATTTATTATCACAGCTGCTGGGAGAAGCTGAGGTTGGTGGATTGCTTTAGGTCTGGAGTTCTGAGCTGTAGTAGGGATAATGCCAGTGGGGTAGCCACACTAAGTCCATCACCAATATGGTGAACCCTTAGGAATGTAGGACCACCCTGCTGCGTTGGGAGAAGTGGAATTTTCAATTTCCCAGGCTTGAAAATTGAAGGAGGTTGAAGTTTTCATACCAGTCAGCTTATGGATTAGGTCCATGAATATCCCCTACTTCCAGCTTAGGTAAGAATATAGGCACAGAATATTTGATATGCTACTCTTCTTGCCTTTGGTTGACACTTAATACCTTTATTCCTATGCTTATTTCTCTCAACCCATTCAAATCAATACCCATCTCTGATTCCTTAAGAAAACTCTCAAATGATTATTGTAATCCTTTAAATCCTACATTGATCTCTTTCAGTCCACTTAGATCTATGCCATCTCTGACTTCTTAAACCTCTCTGATGATTGAACTTTATAACATTTAAAAAAAACTGTCTTAACCAAGGCACATAGAAAAGTGCACACAGGTAAGCCCATCAGTAGAGGCTGGAGACATCTATATTTAGATATAGATGCATATTATAACTAGGAAATGGCATATCCTTTCACATGCACACACATCGTTGGAGAGAAAGAACCTAAAGCTGTTTTGTGAATATTGAGCAAAGAAGATGATTGACTGGTGTAGACTTGTGTATTGGTTTTAATCTATAGTATTAGAGTAGGTAACAGCCAGTGACTTTAGTAGCTAGCTTCTTCCATTGCTAATATGGCAGCTACTGTAGGGGCAATGATAATATTTTACATTTGTATTATGTTTTTCAGTTTTCAAAGTACTTTCATATATGTATATTATCTTATTTTTAAAAGATAACCATTAATGTATGAGTTACATATTAGTCTGATTGACAACCAGGAAGTAGATAGTAGAATTTTACCTCCTTTAGTATAGAGAGAAGTGATTTTCAAACTTTATTAAATTTTAGACCTCTTTAACAGGGCAAAAGTCCCTGTGGAATCTTACCCCTTTTTTTGCTCATGAGTCCTCAAAATAATGCAACAGCATTAATGAGAATAATAGCATTGCTTTTGATGAAACACAAATAAGATTAGGATTCAAGTGTTATATTGGAAAAAGCCCTTGGAATCAGATGCCATAAGCCTTGTGGACTTGGGGAACTGATCTTCAGATTACTTATCTGTAGAATAAAGATAAAAATACTTGTACTACCAACCTAATAGAGCTATGTGTGCTCTGTTAATGTGAAGGCAGCATTTATTAAATATTATAGTAAGTAATTAATTTTTGCCAGAAAAAAATAAATGTAGAAATGTTCATGCCACAAATTATTATTCCATGGATTGAGAACCACGGGTAAAAGAAAACTATGTTTCTTGTGGATATGTCCATTTGTGAAAAGGTTTTTTTTTTCACTAATGGGTAATAGGAGTTAGAAATGAATTAATAAAATTATCAAGATTCTGCTCCTCCTTTTACAGATGAAGAAATTGAGGCCTAGAGAAGTGTGACCACCACCTTAGCCCTTTGTCCATTAACACCTTCAAGAGCTAGCCCATAGTCTGGCCTTTGACTGGCACTGGCTCTTTCCTTTTATATTTTTTTGTGTGTGGCAATCAGTGTTGAGTGACTTGCCCAGGGTCACACAGCTAGCAAGTGTCAAGTGTCTGAGGCCAGCTTTGAACTTGGGTCCTCCTGATTCCAGGGCTGGTGCTCTATCCACTGTGCCACCTAGCTGCCCCTTCTTTTCCTCTTAACGGAAGATAGCAACCTGGAAGAACAGTTATTGTTTTGGATCACTGCTTTGATTAAGAAAAAAGCTGCAGTGAAAGAGATTGTTAGCTTTCAAAGCAAAATTCTGCTAAATAGATTTGCCCTGTATTTGCTTTCTCCTTTCTAGTTATAAACATCCTTCTGAAAATGCTTACTTATATTGTTAAACAGTTTTGACCAGAACTCTGGTTATTTTGTTGTCTTATTTTAAATTTTTAAGAAAAATTTGACTTTTACTTTTTAATTAGGAACTTAAAAATAACATTTCAGTAAAGAACTTAAAAGATTATATGTGAAACTGTGAACTGCATATTTTTTGACTGTTTCATTGATAATCTTTTTTTTGCATTGTTCTCATTCATCAACTTCTCTTTCTTCCTTTCCCCTCCCACCTCTTTTGAAGCCCTTGTGACAAGTAAGTGTAGTTAAGCAAAACGAATCAATTGGATTTTCTTCTAAAATTAATATATTTTCTCAGTTTTAGATCAAATGTAAAAAACTCTGCTTTTTTGATGTCCTATTAACTTAGGGTTTGGGTTTTTTTTTTTAAGGCAATTGGGGTTAAGTGACTTGCCCAGGGTCACACAGCTAGTAAGTGTCAAGTGTTTGGTCTGAGGCCAGATTTGAACTCGGGTCCTCCTGACTTCAGGGCCAGTGCTCTATCCATTGCACCACCTAGCTGCCCCTATTAACTTAGGTTTTGAAGTAAATGCTTGACACATGTAGCCATTATTGTATTTCCTTAGCCTCAACCATATTACTGATTTGATTGGCTAAACAGATTTGTTCCAGACTTAAATCTTTTTAGCTTTAGTGTCTTGACAGGAAATGGTGCTATAACCATATTACATATCTTACAAAGATGCAGTGAGCATTGTGTTAATTTTAAAATCTTGTACAACAGGAACTAAATACATAATTTTTAACACTTTTTTTTAGATAAAAAAACCTGTTAATCCTAGGGCTTTTAAAATGATTTGTTTTCTGTTCTTTATAGCATGTCCTATATTTATAGGTTGACTATGCAGGAGGATTTGAACCTTTCAGTGTTGTCCGCTTCAGCCAGAAGTTTGTGGATCGGATAGCTAATCCAAAAGATGTTATTCATTTTTTCAGACATAGAGAGCAAAAGGAAAAAACAGGTAATGTAAATATTTTTATAAGTTAAGAAAATGAATATTCAATGTTCGTGTAATCAGTCATTAATGAAAGATATAGAGAACGACAAGAAGGATGGTTGCATTCTTCTTTCTCCCCTGATATAGGGAAATGAACTACTAATGCTATAAATAAATCATTTGCCTTCCGAAAAAATAGATTAGCACTATAATTTTGATTTTTATGAATGTTAAATTTCACTAAAGAAATGGAAGACTTCATCTACTGATATGAGGTATACATAAATTTTAAAAATGCTACTGAATATTTTCTATAAAAGTTTTTTTTCCCCCATTGAGGAGGTAAGAGGAAGAGAAAATACATTTTTTTTGTCAATGAAAAAAATTAAAAATACTGCTGGTAATATATTTTGAATATTTTAGAAATTTGACACTTTTACATATAAAAATTTTATCAAATCTACGTAAATATTTCTTGCATAGTTGATCTAAGTTTTTGCATTGCTGTTTTAAAGTTTTGTAACCTGAATCATTTTCAGAATAATCAAATTTCCTATATCTTCATATTTCAGTTATTCAGATAATTAGTTTTCATATGTACTAACTTTAATGTTCATTAATGATTTCATTAATGTTTCCTCATAAGAAATATTTCTTTTGTTAAATAGCTATGTACTTTTAGTAAACAAAAAATTTTTATATTACAAAGTGAAGAGCCTAGATTTTCATTACTGAGGAATCCATGTCTAATAGATATATCTTTTTTATTATAAAACCAAGATTAGAGGAACTTATACTGTATAAGTCCATTTGCATTTCAAAATATAACTCATTTTCTGTTATAAAAAAACTTCCAGTTTTTGAAAATTTGCTTTAAAGTTATCTTAAACTTAATAACCATTTTCAAGCACAAGCATTCAAGTAGACAGGAATCAAGAATAATTGTATATAAAACCGTAAGTTTGCCTTATTCACAGAACAAAAGAATGTGTAATAACTTTAACAAGATAATTAACAAGATAATAACTAAATCATCTTGTTTACTTCAGTGCCTCCTTCTGAACTTTTTTTCTCTGCGTTTCTTCTTCTGGATTTGGTTGCTTTATGTTGTTTAGTCGTTTTTCACTTAAGTCTGACTCTTCATGACCCCATGTGGAGTTTTTTTGGGAAGATACTGGATCAGTTTGCTATTTCCTTCTCCAGCTCATTTTACAGATAAGGAAATTGAGGCAAACAGGGTAACACAGCTAGTAAGTGTCTAAGGCCAGATTTGAGCTCACGAAGATGAATCTTCCTGACAACAGGTGTGGCATTTTGTCCACCGCATCACCTAGATGCCCTGCTTTTATATACACAATAATTATTATAGTGGTTGTATTCAGCTTGTATAGTACTATTTTCATTCTACTTCTTAGATTGCATCATTATTTCTTTGTATCATTCATACTTGTCTTTTCTTATGAAGCAGTAACATTCTATTTCCTAGTTTTTCCAGCCATTCTTTAATATTTTCACATGAATTATTTTCATTTTTTTTTTGGCCATTAGGAATGCTGTTCTTGAATATTTCTATGTAGGTATGTCTTTATTTCCCAGTCAGCATCCTTAGGAAGTATAATTCTAGTAGTGGGAACACTTGATGAAAGGATTTTTATCTCCTTTTGTACAATATTATATTATTTTCTCAAAATATTGCAGCAATTCACCGTGCTAATAGTATTGTAATAGTTCTGTATCTCCATAGCCTTACCATCATTTAGTTTATTTTTAATACTGTTGCCAATTTCAGGGGTATAAGATTGTTTTAATTTATGTTCCTGTACTTAGTCTCTCAGGTGACTATTGTTGACCAGAGAAGGTTTAATTTTCATTTCTAGAATTATTAGAGAGTTTATTCTTTCAAGTGGTCATTGATCTTTGTATTTCTTCATCTAAAACTACCAGTTGTATGCATCCCTTAGCCACTCACCTATTGGGATATAGATTTTTTTAAACTAATGTTAGTTCACTATGGATTTTGAATGTCAGACTTTTTGTTAGAAATGTTTGTAGCAAAGATATACCCCCCCATTCTTTTCTTTCTCTTTTAATCTGTATGGGTTGATTTTTTTTGTATATAAGACCTTGTTTTTATATATCTCTCTAGTTCATCATATAGACTGTCTTATATTTGTTGAAGAATTTACTACTTCTTCATGTTTGTGATAAATACCACATTGTGTTATTTTTTAATGTTTATATGATTTTAAAAATTAAATAATCCATTTGGGATTTTTTTTGGTTATGTGTTGTGTGAAATGTAGATCTAATTTTACCTTTTCCATATTTCTATCCAGTTTTCCCAACAGTTTTTCTTGAGTAATTACACCTCCAGTGTTTTTTTGGTTTTAGATTTATTTATTTTTTTTTAAAAAATTTTATTTTTTGTGAACAGCAGAACATAAGAGAGGATTCAAAATATACAGCAATAAATTTTCATTAAAAAAATATATAGTAAATAGTACACATTGTGTCCTGAGCTGTCCATCTTTGCTTCCTTCTAAGTTTTCTTTTGTTCTCCGCTGTGCACTTTTTACTTTGTTCTCCTCCTCCTCCCCCCTTTCCCACTCCCCCAAGAAGGCTACAATTAAGCTTGGATATATTTGTGTGTGTATGTGTGTATACACACACATATACATATCCACATGTATACACACAAAAATATATATGTACTTATACACATACTTACACATACATATATTTAGATATGTATACTCATATTCATGTATCTGTATCTATCTATATCCATCTGTCTGTCTATCTATCTACACACACACACACACACACACATTCATATGCATCTATATAAGACCATACTATACTTGTTCATCCTCTGTTTCTCTGAGAGTGGATAACACCTTCTTTCATAGGTCCAAATATTTCTCTGTTTTTCTAAGCCCACCAACTCATCATTTCCTCTATCACAGCAGTAGTCTGACCATATACTGTATAGTTATTTTAAACAGTCTAAAGCAATATTGATTAATATGGCTGATGTATAGTGTAGTTTTCCTATTTTTCCTCTTCCGATTAAGTCTATTTCAGTTTTAACTTTATGTGAGATCTTGGTTTTAGATTAAACTGATGCTAGTAGATCTAGTCACTTAGGCAGCTGGGTAGTACAGTGGATAGAGCACTGGATCTGTTGTCAGGAAGATTTGAGTTCACATCCAGCTTCTCAGACACTTACTAGCTGTGTGATCCTGGGCAAATCACTTAACCTCTGTCTGCCTCAGTTTCCACATCTGTAAAATGGAGATTAGTAATCATACCTACTTCCCAGGGTTGTGAGAATCAATTGAGATAACATTTGTAAAGTACTTTGCCAGCCTTAAAATGCTAGCTATTATTTTATTGTTGTATGCCATTTGGTTCTAGTTCTAATGACATTTTGCTTTTTATTTAATTAATTTAACATAACCAGTTGTTTTTTAACAGTGTGTTGCCTTGACTATCAACAAATCAATAAAACAATTTTTAAGTCCTTCCACTGTGTCAAGCATAGACTAGGCAGTGGGATAGAAATACAAAGAATGAAGCAATCCATATTAGTAAAAAAACTTGTAATAGAGAAGACAAGTATATTTATAAGCATTTAAAGAAATATAAATTGAATAAATACAGATAAATACAAAGCAGTTAAATACAAGATAGTTTGAGAGGGAGGATATGAGTAGCTAGAAAAGCCTGATGAAAAAGAAGAGTTATAATGGTGAGCTTTTTTTGGATAATTTTTTCCACCCCTTATTTTTTTTATGGCTTGTGGTAAAAGGATAGGCCTGAAAGTTAGGAGACTTCTAGTCCTAGCTGTGCCATTAACTTCATTTTTGTCCTTGTACAAATCACTTCAGATCTTTGGGCTTCAGTTTCCTCAGCTGAAAAATGAATGTAGGAAATGTTTCATTAGTTAGCTACTTATAAGATTTTTTTTTCTTTGTTCCAGTAGAACAAACTCCTTAAGGGTAGGGACTATTTACTTTTTATATATGCATTCTTAGCTTATAACATATTGCCTTGTTTGTAGTGGGTGGTTAGTATATTTCTGATGAATTGATTTTAGTTTTGCAACATAGCAGAACAGTGTAGAATATAATGAATATTGTGTCATCATAGGACTTAGAGCTAGAAAGACTCTTGAGGTCATCTAGTCCTAACTCTACTATTTTGCAGATGAGGCAGCTGAAGCCCAGAAAAGATTTTTTCCACAGTTGTGTAGGTAGTAAGATTTAGAGCTGAGTTTTAAATCCAGGTCCTTTGACTCTAAATTCAGCTTTCTTTCCACTAGATCATACAAATCAAGGCCAAGCTTGTTGGTGATGGGGACTAAAGTATAGGAAATGATAACAAAAATTATTGCTATTCATTTTATAACATGGACTTCAAATGGATTTTTTTCCTTATAGATTTTCCATAAAGACCCCTACTTTTTCATTTTCTTACTGTAATACTTGAAGGAATTATTCTTTTATTAATTCAAATTGTAACCTCTTTGCAGCTTAGTAGGTATTCTTTTATATCTACTATGGCTGAATTAATCACCAGTGGTGATGAGCATTTTAAAAATTAGTTAGTTTAGATTTAGGCTAGTAGACATAAATGTATAGCACCAAGACTGAACCCCAAACCTTTCCATCCTGATGAAAGGCCTTCTGTATGTTCTTTGCATAGCCTGAGAGCCCAGGGTCACCCCTACACTCCCACTATGATTTTACAAGAGGAGACTCCTTTAAAAACAAACAAACAAAAAATCCGGAACAAATCTAAAATATTTTTTCAAGAAAGCTTTGAGAGCTGCTTTTATCAGTTGCTGCATTTGTTAGTATTTGGGGGCAATAGTTATGCTTTAGAAACTTTCAAGGTTGTAATATTTTTATTACTTATTGGAATATATAGGACTTCTATAATCTGCAGAGAGATAATCTTGCCCAACATCAAACTATAATTTCAATTCTTCACTTGTCTGAGAAATTCATTACTTTTTATAATTATATGACAAGTTTAATTACAGTTAAAAAATTTTCTTTTTATCATCAGGCATGCAGGTAGTATAGTTCATTCAGTGGTGAATTTTGTTTTTCCTCTTTTGTTTTGTAGACATGTGTATTATTTTAAAAATGTGTTGTAAAGTGGACAGGGTGGTACAGGCCTGTAATTCCTGCTGTTAGGGAGACTGTGGCTGGTGGGTTACTTGAGTTCAGGAATTCTGAGCCACAGTAGAGATAAAGCTGATAGAATATCTGCATTGAAACTGTCCCTTGAGAGTGGAGGGCCACTGGGCTACTTCAGGAGGGATGAAGTGGCCCAGATCTGAAAAAAAGGTTGAAGCGTCTTAAATAGGTTAAAGTTTCCATGTTGTTGTTGTTGTTGTTGTTATTTAGTCATTTTCAGTAATGTCTGACTTTTCATGACCCCTTTTGGGGTTTTTTCAGCAAAGATCCTGGAGTGGTTTGCCATTTCTTTCCTCAGTTCATTTTACAGATGAGAAAACTGAAGCAAACGGTTAAGTGACTTTCCCAGGGTCCCACAGCTAGTAAGTGTCTGAGGGTGGATTTGAACACCTGATTCCAGCATTCTTTCCACTGAACCATCTAGCTGCCCCTAAAGCTTCCATACTGATCTATATTGGAATTGGACCTTTGAGTGGCTGCTGTGCTTCTAGCCTGGGCAAGATAGGGAGACTCAGTTAAAAAAATGAAAACAAAATAAATTTTAAAATAAAATTTAATATAATTGGAAAGAATACAGCCAGGTCCCCATTAATGTGAAATGGTTGCCTGTATTCACTATTCAGAGTTATAATTATGCAAAATATGGTAGTTGGTTCTTATATGACCACTTCATGGAATTCATTATTTGCACTAATCAGACTGGGCTGTAACTTCTTAATTTTAATGAAGGGAGTATCCAGGGGTGATTTAGGGAGGCCCTTAATGACATATATTCTAATAACTGGGACCAGAGAGGATTCAATTTTCAATTCAGTAAACATTTAGTAAGTGCTTGCTCTGTGCCAGGCAGTGTGCTAAGTGCTGGAATACAAGTAAGAAAAAGGACAGCCTTCCTGCCCTCAAGGAGCTTACTGTGTAACAGGGGAAGACAGCACACAAAAGGAAGCTGAAAAAGGGGTGGGTTGGGGAAACCAGGATGTATCTGGCATGGAGGCATCTTGTTCTGTGGAATTGAAACAAAACAGAGTTGTGGTAGAAAGTGGAGAGGAAGCTGGAAAGTCCAGGTCCTGCCCTTTAATAAAGTAAAGCTGAAGAGGAGTGAAGGAGTTTTCTTTCTGTACCCTCCCTCCCCCCACCCCCTAGTGCTCTAGTTAGAGAGGAGAGAAGGCTGAGAGAGGTGGAAAGGGGTTGAGTGTCCAAGGCTGAGTTAGCAGCATTGTAATGAGATTTAAAGTGATCAGCTTCAGAGTGATCAAAGAGAAGGCAGCATCATGGTAGTTAAAAGGAACTAGATACTTTTTTGAGTTTTGTCACCTCTTTATTTTTCCATTTCCTCATATGCAAAATGAGAAGATTGGATTAGTTGAACTTCAAAGTTTTTCCAAGGTCTGCAGTTTTTTAATATAAAAAAAATGTTCTACTGTTTTCCAGATTGTAGCAGAGGTTTATTTTATTTTTTTGTCATAGGACAAATGACTAGACTACCTCTAGTCATTTATCTGCTTTTCTTTTATCCTTTCATTTGTATGCTCCCATTTTTCTATATGTACATATTTGCACATTTATTTTTCTTGCTTTCAGATGGGTTTCCCTAAATCCTCTCATCAGGTACATAAAATTAAGTCATTGTTTTTCTATATAGCCTATAAGTATGGTGGTACTGACATCATACCTTTACATATAAAATAGGTTGATGAAAAATTTTTTGTGGCTAGATGCTCGTATACTTTTAATTTATGTGGAAGAGGTATCAGATTTGTTTAATTTGACCCCAGATAGCAGAATTTGGACCATAAGCTGATTTCAATTCAATATAAGAAAAATTTCAGAAACAGAAGTATCTAATATTTAAGTGGGTTTTTGGAATTTGGGGTGTGGGAATGGGGTTTCTTTAAGCAGTGTCTGTATGAATATTTTCCAGGGATTCATACTTCAGGAGACATTTACATTAATTACATTACGTTACGTTATGTTACATTACGTTACGTTACGTTACGTTACATTACATTACATGTCTTCCAAAGTCTGTATGATTATCTGATTCATAATGATACAGAGAATTTTTACAGATGGGGAGAAACTATGGCTGGTAACAGTAAAATCTTGCTGCTGCCATTAAATTTGTCTGTACTAGTAAGATAGCATTTAATGGAGTTGCATTTCTCCTGCCCTCTAGCATATCACTTGTGATTAGTGAACCATAGTTTTGGTACATTTAACATTATATAAATAATCCAAAAAGTGAGCTGGTTTTAATGTACATTTCTTTCCTAGGAGAAGAAATCAACTTTGGGGAGCTTATCACAAAACCGCCTTCAGAAGGACCTACTATAAGGGTAGAAGATCTTGTGAAACAGTATTTTCAGACTGCAGAGAAAGTAATTATTTATATTTATTGTAATTTTAAATGACAAGTTGTGAATTGTGAGACATTGAATTGAAATTGTTGTCTTTTTATAAAGAAGAATTCTGATTTAGTCCATGTATAATATGATATATATTTGAACAATGGATTCTCAGAATTTCCCTGAAAAACATATGTATAAGTAACTCCATTTCTAATTATTCAGTTCAACAGTTAATTCAGTAAACATTTTTGAAAACCTGAGTGTAATCCATCATGGCAGATTCTGAGCTAAATACAAAGTTTAGAATTCAGGGGTGGGGAACCTGTGGCCTCGAGGCCACATGGGCTCCTCTAGGTCCTCAAGCATAGCCCTTTGAATCTATACTTCATAGGACAAATCTTAATAAAAGGATTTGTTCCTTAAAACTTGCGCTCAGTCAAAAGGCTGTACCCAAAGACCTAGAAGGCCACATGTGGCCTCAAGGCCCCAGGTTCATGACTCCTGGTTTAGATAAACCATGGTCCCACATTCAGGAACTTGTCTTTGAGAGAGGAGACAAGTGTAACACATACACAAATATCTGTAATGTGTGAAAGTTTGAACTTCACAATTGAACGGTTCATCTAATATAATTAAGTATCTACTATCTTCAGATTCCTGTGGGAGGCACTGGTCTTCAAAGATAAAAAAAAAATAACAAACCTTCAAGGATCAAGATATCTAATAGAAACAGTACATATAGAGGGAATGGTAATTACATGAAAGATCTGAGCAAAAAACGTTCAGAGGTAGATGAAGTTATTAACAATTTAGGATTAGGGAAAACGCCACAGAGAAGGTGGTATTTAAGTCAGGTTTAAAAAGGTATTTAGAGTGGAGTTGGGAAGGTAAGATGAGGGTATTATAGTCATTAATTAGCACAAGCAAAGATGGAGACATACATAGCTAGGCAGTACATATATAGAGAATGGCCAGGACAGTTTGGGTAGAATATAGAATACTTGAAGGTGAGTAGTAGAGATAAGGCTGGAAAGTTAGAATGTTACCACTTTGTAAAGAAAGGGCTTTGCGAACCAGCCAGTAATGAGCTATTAAATGGTTTCTAGAAGAGGGATTACATAACCATATCTTTGCATCAGGAGAATGCCTTAGAGAGGTAGCTGGAGTGGGTAATATGAGAAGAGAAGGGGGTGACCTGTTAGGTATCTCTTGAAATACTCTTGTACAAGAGTGGTGGCAGTGGGAATAGAAAGAAGAGAAGGATAAGAAAGATACTGCAGAGATAGAAGAACTTCGATCCTGATGGGTTGTGAAAAGAGAGGGAAGTATTAAGATTATAGTGAGATTTCAAACACAGTATACAGAATGAATGGTGGTGGCACTGACAGAAGTAATGAATAGGCTTGAGGGGAAAGATGATAAGTTTATAGAGAAGTCTGTGAGGTTGGCAGCACAGTCAGATATTCAGTAGGCATTTGGAAATACGCATCTCAGACTTGGAAGAAAGGTCTTTACGTATACATTTGATAAGGCTGTAGTTATAAAGGAAATTGTTGTGGGAGAGCTTAGAGATAAAAGAGAAGCTTAGGAAAAAATCTTGGGGAATTGCTACCTTATGGGGTTGAGAAAAGTTTGAGGATCTAGGGAGGGAAATAGAAAGGCAAGAAGGTACTACACCAGTAGAGTGTAGTGTCACTGAGGCCATGGGAGGACTAGTACCCAGGTGAGGAAGTGGATATTCAGCAGTATCACATTCTGTAGAGAGGTCAGGGATGGTAAGTGTTGAAAAAATCTGTTGGATTTCATGCTTAGGACATTATTGGTAATCTTTGAGAAAATGATTTCTATAGAGTAGCGAAGCCAGAATGTAAGAGACTGAAGAGTGAGCAGGTACTGAGGATATGGAGGCATCAGGTATGAACAATTTAAATTTGACATTGAAGAAGAGGAGAGATGGGGTGGTAATTGTTGATGTTAGAAGACTTTTTTACAGCTTATTTATAAGTAGATGAGAAGAAAGGAAAGAGGAGGAGAGAGAGGAAATAATCCAGGTCCTAGAAGAGTACTCTGTTTATGAAGTCATTCTCCCAAATACTTCATGTCTCCCCTGGATCCCCCAGTATTATTTTGCAATTCTTATCAATTGTGATTATTCCTGTTTTGTTTAAATAGATTTTTTTTCCCCTTCCATAATGACTTTTTTTTTTATCTCTATAGAAACTGCAACTTTCCCTTCTAACAGAGCGGGGGATGGGTGAAGCAGTGCAAGAGTTTGTGGACAAAGAAGAGAAGGATGCCATAGAGGAACTGGTAAAATATCAGTTGGAAAAAACACAGAGATTTCTTAAAGAACGTCACATTGATGCAGCTGAAGATAAAATTGATGAAGAGGTTAGTAAGGAATTGTTTTGGGCCCCACTTATTGTACTTTGGCCCATGAGAGACTGTGAACCTAATGTATCACAGCCTTACCAAGAAGGGGAAGTTTCTGGTCCTTTTAGCAAAATGTAGGTTTGAGGAGGAGAAAAAGAGAAAAGGGAAAAAGAATGGGAAAACAAAGATGGAAAAAGATTTGAAGAGAAGGGAGGAAAAGGATGGGGAAAAAAGGAGGCAGAAAGAATATAGAGAAAAGGACAGGATCCGTGAACTGTCTCTTGTGGAGAGCTCCCAGACTGTAGGACATGTATGGTTGAAGTCTCTAGAGATCCCCAGGAGTCCCTCACAATGTCTGTTCTCAAGGAGCTGTTGTGTTTTTCTGTTCCTCCTGGTTCCAGTGGCGAAGTCCTCCAGTGAACTGATGGCAGGGACTGATGCTGTGGCATGTTGTGCAGGCACCTTATTTCTTTAGGCATTGATCATATCTTTGCCATTTGTGACATTTAGCAAAACAGTAGGGGATATGAGATGGTGTAGTATAGTGAAAAGGGCAAGGGACTAAGAATTGAGACCCTTGCATTTGAGTTCTGGCTCTGTCATTAGCTGGCACTATGGCTTTAGGTAAGTGATTTAATAACCTGTAGATTTCTTAGGTGTCATCCATATTCTGCTGTCTCCTCATGCTGCCATTTTAATCATAGATGTCATAGGAGTTGGAAAAGACCTTTCAAGTTACCTATTTTAGCCCCTCTCTTTTTACAGGTGAGGACCCAAGCCCCAAACAGATGAAGGGACTTGTCCCAGGTCATATGAGTTCTAAGAGACAGGACCAGGGTCTGAACCGAGATTCTGGGACTCCAGATTGAGTGCCTTTTCCATTGTACTACACTGCCACTTTCCAACTCCTAATTTTACAAATGAGGAAACTTAACTGCTCAGGAGTCTGCAGGATTTTCCCATTGCCTACCATATCAAGTTCAAACTCTCCTGTTTGGATTTCAAGGCCCTTCATAGTCTAACACCCATCCTTCCTGTCCAGCTTTTTTCCCATCACTTCCTAAGAGATTCACCTGCTATAGTTAGACCAGTCTCTTTATTATCTTCCATATACACTATGCTAATTGCTTTCCTACTTTAGAATGCTTCTATGCATTTCCAGATCTTTCCTATTCTTAACTCATACCTTCTTATGCAATATTTCTTTGCAATTCAAAACCTACTCATTTCTCATCTCTTTCCTTTTTCTGACTTCTTATTTGTTACTTCATAACATACAGAGTGGTGCCAGGTTGTCTTATTACCTTTATTTTTTTTTTATATGTAGCCAACCCCATTTTTTTTTTGGGTGAAGCGACTAGGGGTAAGTGACTTGCCCAGAGTCACACAGCTAGTGAATGTTATATGTCTGAGGCCGGATTTCTACTCGGGTCCTCCTGACTCCAGGGCCGGTGCTTTATTCACTGCGCTCCTAGCTGCCCCAGCCAGCCCCATTTTAAACTCCTTAAGAGATCATTTCTTTTACTTCCTTTGAGTTTGTATGGTGAAGTATCCCTCTGTAGTGATAAAAAAGCAATAGTGGATTTTTCTCAATGGCTTATTGACTTATTCGTGCTTTTAAGAAACAAGGACATTTTGACAACAAGCAGTATTATTTTGCTTAAAGTCAAATCCTTTCCCCTAGAAACATATAGTGACATTTTCATGTGAGCTAATGGGAAAGTGTACTTAATTTTATGAACAATATTTTAAGGATGTGTGTATTTTGTTCTAAGGAGCATCCATATTTAAATGATCAAGTAATATGTTATATTTTAAAGCATTCCATAAACAATTTGTGACTACTCATTTTATTTTGTGCACAAATTATACTTTTTGCTGATGAATAATTACATTACCTAACATCTGTATAATTTAATATAGGTACGTCATTTCAGAGAGAGCAGAAAAAAGAATACTACTGAGGAGGAGGAAGAGGTTCGAGAGGTAAGTATTTAATGAACATTTAGCTTGTACCTTCAATTGAATCATTTTACTTTAATGTAAAAATAATTTAAATCAATTGTTTAAATAAAATAAATAGTTTTATCAGTTTATCAGTTAAACCAGAATAGATAATTTATCATGTTATGAGGCAGGAATGAGTCCAGAGGTGCTGTTTTATTTGACTGAGTGGGTGTATGGGCTGCAACTGTTCTATTTTACTGACTTTGTCTTGCCTTCCTGGTTTTACCTATCCTGTTAATAAAGCTTGAATCAAAGATCAGACTTTAAGGGCTTTCTTCCTGTGTTTCAGTCCAAGGAACTCAGCCTTTGACTAGATCTCTTTAGAAAGCTTCATTCAAGGTCTAGAATTAGTTTTATAAGTAAACTGTGACCTTGGCATGGTTTATTTAATACTTGGAGCTCCCAGCCTCTTCTAACTTTTGTTTTGTTTTGTTTTTTTTTTGTTTTTGCTAGGCAATGGGATAAGTGACTTGCCCAGGGTCACACAGCTAGTAAGTGTTATGTGTCTGAGGCTGGATTTGAACTCAGGTCCTCCTGAATCCAGGGCTGGTGCTCTATCCACTGCTCCACCTAGCTGCCCCTTAACTTTTTTTTTTGTCATGAATACTTTTGGCAGTTAAGTGTAACTTAATATCATTGTGGTTTGTTGCCTACATTCTTAATTAAAAGAAATGCTACATTTAATTAGAGTTCAGTGAAAATGAAGATATACATCTTTTCCGTCTAAGTTCATAGACCCTCTAAAATCTATCCGTGGAGCAAAAGTTCTGTGGACTCCATTAAGAACACCTCTTTTAAGTCCTTATTTAGTTTGAGTTGAATCTTAGGGTTGTATAGTCTTTTTTGGATACCTGACTAATAAAATAATATATGCCAAATATCCAGTATTTAATCTAGGTGAGAAAAAAAGGCCAGATTAATTGTTATTCTCTGCCCCCAAGCATCTTAAAATTTGTACATTCTTTAGAACAAAATAGATATAAATAATTCAGCATCAGTAAAAAATTATTGAAGAAGCTTGAGAGCAAAATCAGAGAAGCCAGGAAGAAGGAGGATGCAGTTAGTCTATTCTCACTGATCCTTCTCTTCAATGCCACATTTTTCACAAGAAGTTCAGTGTAACAAAAATGCAAGGTGGATCACATTAAAGACAGATAGCTTGTACATAATTAAATGTAATGAACAACAGAACACCTGTGTCAAAGGATATGACTGAAACTCGGGTTTCTTTGCAATATTAGAGAGTAGTGTTGACATAAAATATAATTAGTAAATCAAATGCTTCATAGTAGCACATAAATAATAAGTATTTTTAGCACATAAATTATTAGGAAAACAGTTTATAAACTTCACTCAAATGCAAGCCTGATTTCATCTTTCTTAGTTGAAGGCATCATGTAACTATTAAGAAAAGAATAAGAATAAATGAATAATAAGTAAATTTATAGAACAATAGTAATAATTATAGTAATGTAATAATAAAAATAAGAAATAATAAGAATAGTGACCCCCTACAATTTAGGCTAATTATGTGTATGTACTTTAATACAAGATATTCACAGCTTATATCACTAAAAATATCTATACATGATTATAAAATGACATCATATTGATTACAGTGTAATAAGGGGTTATCAAAAAGGGCCCGAAATATAAAGAGCAACTCTGTCAATGTAGTCATTGTTGAACAAGGGACCCCCAAAGTACTATAGTACTTATATTGTTTTTATTATCATAGAGTTTTTTACTTAATTGTGTAGTCATGGCTTATTCAGGTACTTTAAAAATAGAAAATAAATCTTAGTATAGGGAAAATGCTGAAGTATATTATGTCCATATGAAAAAGTGTTTTTTACATAGAACATTTGTTTTTATTACCACTGAAATGATGTCAGAAACAATTGAAGAAGTAGTAATCTCAAAGGGAATAATTTTTAAAAGTCAAAATGAAGAGTGGCTAGCAGTACCTGATCTCAAACAATACTGCAAGGTGGCAATTCTCAAAACAGTTTGTTATTGGAGATATTCATCAGTGGAATAGATTGCATATAGAGGCAAAGGAACCTAGTAGACTAGTATTTGATAAACAGAAAGAACCCAGCTATTGGAACTGAACCATTATCACAGATAATTGTTGCCCACAATTTTGCTCGAACATAACATTGATCCATAAAAATTTAAGAACAGTGTTTAAAATCAATGTTGCCGTTCGTGTTTATCATATCCAAGCTACATAGAACAAAATGCTTTTAAAGTATAAAGATTTAGCAGAAGAAATGAGTCTTCAAAAGATGATGTTAAAGCCCAATATTTTTATTCTTTTACAAAAATTATTCATTTTATCTAACTGTAATAGTCCAAAAAATACAAATATAAAAGAACAGCATGGTGACTTTTCTTAGGACTTTTGTATCTGAACTCTATTGAGAACAAAAAGGTAATAATAGTAGTTGATATTTATATAGACTGTCAGGTTTGCAAAACACTTGTACATCATCTAATTTGATTTCGTTTTAAGGAATAATACCATCATTAGGTCTCTTTGTGAAAACAGACTTGAATCTCTTAGAAATTGCCAATATTGCCTAAATTACAACAAAGATTTAATCTAGGACCAGGGTAAAGAGAATGGGAAAGCTGACTCCAAATTAATGCTTCATTCTCATCACATTGATTTTGCAACCTTCTGAGGCTATGATCCAGCCAAACTGGCCTTCTCTTTGTTCCTTATTCCCAACACTTTATTTCCCATCTCTGTGGGTTTGCATTGGCCTTCCCCCTCCCCCTTGTCTGGAATGAATCTTCCTATCTCTGCCTCACAGTGTCCCTGTCTTCCTTTAAGAAATAACTCAAGCTTGATCTTCTGCATGAAAACCCTACTGATCCCCACAGTTGCTAGTACCTTTCCCCTTGGGCTTGCTTTCTTTATTTTTTTATATAATTGTATTTATTAACTTTATCTTTATTCTGTGTATATTTTATATATACTTGCTTCCCAATTAGAATGTAAGCATATTGTGAATATGAATTATTTTATTCAGTGTACTTGTTTTTATTTATTTTCTTTTATCTTTTATTATTTTTTATTAAAAAAATTTTTTTAATCATCCAAGATCCATCTTCTCACTCCCCCTCCCCCAAATGAGAGCACAAGATAAACAAAATCCATTATAAGCATGTATAGTCATTCAAAACAAATTTCTGCAAATTTGTCTAATTTTGCATGCTGAGCCCTTTACTCCTTTATCAGAAGGTGGGTAACATGTTTCATATTTAGTCCTTTAGAATCCTAGTTGGTCATTACACTGATAAGAGTTCAGCACATTAATATTCTATAATATTTATATACCAAAACTTGTTCATTCATTTCCCCAGTTATGGGTACTTTTTCAGATTCTTATGCTTTGCGGCCTCAAAAAGCTATAAATGTTTTTGTACATCCTTAGAATTTGTTTTGCTTTCATTTAAGGAGAGATCTCAATTTAAAACATCTCTTCCTATCTTACCAGGCTGTATTACTTTGGGATTTCTCTGACTTCTCTACCATGCCCCCACATTGGGTACTTCTTTAATCCCCTCCCCTACTTTTCAGCTTCTTTTTGTGTGTTGTCTTCCCCTATTAGATTGTAAGCTCCTTGAGAACAGGGACTGTCTTTCTTCTATTTGTATCCCCAGTGCTTAGCACAGTGCCTGGCACATCATTGGCACTTAACAAATGTTTATTTACAAACTGACTGACCAATCTCTCCCTTAATTTGCCCTTCCTCTAATTTCCCCTCCTCCTTGTTTGTATACATGTCTGCTTGTGTGCTCTGATGATGTGAAAGAATTTTCCTAATTTTCCTTTCTCTCCCTTGTTTAGTCCTTTATCATTGTTTATTCATGTTTACTTTTTTTATGTTGCTCTTCACTCCCATTCTTGAACTTCAAAGTTTTTCTACAGCTCTGGTATTTTAATCATAAATGCTTGGAAGGCCCTCTAAAGGTTCATTTTTTTACACCTGTGTCATTTTACTTAATTTTCCTGTTTGTTACTCTTGATTATAAGCCCATTTCCTATACTTTCTGAAATACTGTATTTCACGTTCTTTGTTCCTTCATAGTATCAGCTGCTAAATCATGTGATATTGTCTGTGGTACCTTAGTATTTGACTTCTTTCTTTCTGACTGCTTACGGTATTTTTTCTTTGACCTGGAAGCTTCAGATTTTAGCTATGATATTCCTGGGAGTTTTCACTTTGGGGTTTCTTTCAGAAGATGACCAGTGAGTTCTTTCAATTTCTACTTTGCTTTTTGATTCTAAGAGATCTGGGCAGTTTTCTTTTAAGATTTCTTGAAATGTATTATGTAGGCTTTTTTCCCCTCATGCTTTTCAGTAGTTCAATGATTTTTCCTAACTCTATAAAATGATTTTTGGTAATTTAATTGGTATGGCACTGAATAAGTAACAAGTCAGTTGTTTTTCCTATAAGATCTTTTCACATTTTCTTCTATTTTTTCAGATTTTAAATTTCATTTTATTATTTATTGATGGCTTATTAGTTTCCATTTGGTTATTTCATTTTTTAAAAATTATTTTCATTTACTTCATGGAATATTTTTCCCAGTTACATGTAAAAAATTTTAGCAATCATTTTAAAAAAATTTTGAGTTTCAAGTTCTCTCCCTTTCTTTCACTTTTTCCCCCTCCTTGAGAGGGCAAGCACTTTGATTTTGATTGTACACGTGAAGTCATGCCAAACATTTTCATATTAGTAGCCATGTTGCAAAAGAGAACTCAAAAAGAAAATAATAACAATAAAGAAAGTAAAAAAAAGTATGCTTTAATCTGCATTCAGAGTTCATCAGTTCTCTCCCTGGAGGTGGATAGCATTTTTCATCATGAATCCATAGTCTTGATCAAAGTAGCTAAGTCTTTTTTTTTTTTTGCAAGGCAATCGGGGTTAAGTGATTTGCCCACAGTCACACAGCTGGTGAGT